TATAATTTTTATGATTTTATTCTTGATACTATCGTATTTGATTAATAAAAAAATATTTAATTATATTAATTATTTTTAACTTTTGTAAAATGTAGATGATTTACTCTTAATATTTAATAATTGCATAAAAAATACATTTTTAGTTATATTAACTAATTTATACTATTGTAAAATATATAATATATATATATATATATATATATATATATATATATATATATACGTGTTTACATTAATAATATGTAAATAAGAAAAATAAAGATTTTAAGGGTCCGTCCAGTAAAAAAATAAAATTAAAAGATAAGTAAAAAGTAAAATAAATAAAAATATACATATTAAAAAAATAATTTAAAAAGAAATAACTAAAAAAATTAATATTTATATAATTATAAATTATTCTTATAATTATTAATTATCTTTTTATAAATAAAATAATTTGTAAAATTAACACATTGGAATTAAGTTTTTTTATAGTTTATATTTTGAATATTATTGTAGAATATACTTTATTATAACCTATAATTTGATATATAATTTTTATATTTGAATTAAAATTAATAAAGATTATATAAAATTAAATTAATTTTATTTAACTTTATAATAATTTATATATTTATCAAAATTATAAAATAATAATTAAAAATTAAATTATATATATTAATCTTTCTATTTATATTTCATTGTTTATATTTAATACAGGAATATTAAATATAAATGGTTCTCGAGAAGAATTTATAATATATGATGATATATAAACTAAAAAAATCGTGAAATAATTATTTTCATTTTTTATTTATCAAACTTTATAAAATAATAATAGAAAAGTAATTAAACTTTTTATTAATTTTTAAATATTAAAATTTAATAAAAAAATATTTAAAAAATTATTCACACAAAATTATAACATAAGAATAAATATTTTTTTATTAAATAAAATAATTTCATAAAATAATTATTTTAATTATATGTTTTCATTTCTTTTTCTCTCATATATTATTAGAAAATAAACAATAAAAAGTAACATATTTTTTCTAATATCTTTGTTTGTTTTTAGTTATCAACTTAGTTTTCATGTTAGATTAAGTGTTAAATTAAATAATTTAAATTTATTATTATGATTTTGTTTATAACATTCTAATTTTCTCTATAATAATTTTAATTATAATGTATAAAATAAAAATATATTATATTAATGAAGATAATATATATAATAAAGATAATTTTTTAATAAATAAAAAATATTATTGACTGAAAATTAAATAATTTATATAAAAATAACAACTTCAATAAATAACATAAAAAAATCTAAATATATTCATAATTATTCTTCTTATTTTTTTAATCACAAATATTGCATAATCAAACGAAATTATTAATAAAAGAATTGTAACTTTTTGAAAGTAGAATCATTACGTATATAAATTATTTTTATATATATTTTAAGAGAAAGAAATATTTTTTAGGAACTGAAATATAAATTTTTCATATAATTTTAGTTTCAATAAATATAATTTGGTTTGAAAGTTGTAATTTATTCAATTTAAATATATATATATATATATATATATATATATATATATATATTTAAATAAGTATAATTTACTCTAATGCATATAATTTACTATTATTATATATTATATAATAATCATAATATAATTTATTTTTAATATATCATAAAGAGTATATTTATTTATAAATAAAATAATAAATTTTATAATTTTATAATTATTAATTAAAACATATTATAAAAACACCACCTTTTACTTTTTTTAACCTTATATAGTTCATAAATAAAGTAAATATACCTTTTTCTAATATATTAGATTTGTGTTACTAATAACTTTACATATAAAATGATAAGCATATATAATTACTAATTGAAAGTTATATGCAATTAATTTCTTTAGATAATATTTTGTGATAAAAAGTAATGATTACTTAATAAAAATAATATCACTGTTATTTTTAACATATTAAACAACAATAAATATAAAGTTTATGTATCCTGTTTAAAAGAAATAATAAATTTATTTTATTAACTTAATTATCTGTTTAAAAAATTATAATTATCTTAAATCAATTTTTTATTATTATGATTGATCAAAGTTTTTTAAATATAATATAATTATTAATTAAAACATAAATATTATAAATAAAATATAAAAAATAAAACATATTTGATGAGTTTTGATTTGTTGTTATTTTTGAATAAAAAATTCACCAAATAAATAATTTTTAAAAACAAAAAAATAAAAAATAAGTTTAAAATTATTTTACAAGATATTTATTAAACAATTTTTTTTGTATTTTTAAAAAATAAATATTAACCCTGAAAACACCACTCAATGGTTACAAATTCAGAAAGAAAATATTGTCTTCAAAGAAGTAAAATATAGTCTTTATATTTTTAAGAAACAAGAAAAAAAAAACAAAAAACAACTTTCACCAACCCTTGCTATAAATAATTTGGAAGTTGGCTGTTGAGGATGATCACAGAGCAAAAGTGAAGAACTCACAGATACACAGAGAGAAGAGAAGAGAGATATGGCTTGCAGGCAATTGTGGGCTTCAAGGGCTGCCTCTTATTTGAGGATCTCTGTCTTTCACAGAAGTTTTTCCAATGGTAACATCTCTTTCTCCTTTCACCCTCTTTTTCTCTATGTGATGTGATCCGCTTTTCATTTCGTATATTTCAATCATCACTAACAATTCTGTTATTGTCATGTGTGATGCTGTGGGTCTCGATCTACTATCATCCTTCAATGTTTTAAATCTAGGGTTTGTTCTTTCCTGATTTGAAATTCACACTTTGTATGATTTATCGATGTGGTGCTAATTTATGGTGTGTTTAAATGTCTGTTTAGTCATGAATAGAGATCTCTCAATATGGTGTCTTCATGCATGTATTTCAATGGCCTGAACTTTCTAAGTTATGGTGGTAAGGGACAGTGCAACACCCACCTATCCAAAAATGTCAGCATAAAAAAATAATGTGTCCAATTTTTTATGATTAGTTTTAGGCCTCTTCATATTTTTAATAGCAGTATTACGTGTGACCTACAAAATTTGTTGCATTTGGAACCTGGTGAAGGCCCAAATAGTTTAAATGATCAAACACGAGAATAACAAGGGTGGAGCTGGTAATGGTAACGGAAGGTGTATTGATAGAAGGGGTATAAGGTATTTTTATAGTACAAACAAAGTATTTGAGAGACATAGGATAAATTCCATCGAACGTTGAAATATTTATTCATGAAAGTTACTTATTGGTTGTTTTGAGCTTTTATAATAAATCATTATTATTTTTAGTATTGCGTTTCTGAGATACATATGTCAATTTCTGGTCGTTGAGTTATACTGTTTGTTAATTCTAATTGGCTGAATAAGCGTAAACATCATCTAGCACATAACGGTTTTCTGAGTCTTTCCATATCCACATCTCCAATTATATGCCAAATGTATTGTGTGCATTTGAACATGTAGTATATGGAAAATGCTTGGTTGTATTTGTAGTTGTTGCTTCTAGCATTTCTGTCCTTAATCTACATAAAGGCTTTAATATACGAAAAAGAACACTTTTTTTTTTTTTTGAAGAAATTTAGTTTGCTAATTTTTAGATATCTCTAACTTTTGTTGGCTTTTTCCATGTTATTCTTCCAGTTGTTAAAGATCTGAAGTATGCTGATTCCCATGAGTGGGTCAAAGTTGATGGAAATTCTGCAACCGTTGGCATAACTGATCATGCCCAAGATCATTTGGGTGATGTTGTGTATGTTGAGTTGCCTGAAGTGGGAGCCACCGTGACACAAGGAGATAGTTTTGGTGCAGTTGAAAGTGTGAAGGCAACTAGTGATATTAACTCTCCTGTATCGGGGAAAGTGATTGAAGTTAATGAAGAGCTTAGTAGCTCTCCTGCTTTGGTGAGTTTTTTTGGCTAATTCTTAAAGAGCTTTTCACATGAAAGACAAAATGTGTATGCTGAGTGTTAACTATTTTTTCTCTTTTCTGTACTTTTTTGTTTGTGCATGCTACATCTTGGATCACTTCGCCTATGCTGAAGTATTGTAATGAATGCATTTTCTATAAACACCAAGAGTTTTCATCTTGTCCTGCCTATGCTGAAGTATTGTAATGAATGCATTTTTCTATAAACACCAAGAGTTTTCATCTTGTCCTGCATTTCTTGATACAGGTCAACTCAAGCCCTTATAAAGATGGGTGGATAATTAAAGTTGAACTTAGTGACAGCGGTGAACTAAACAACTTGATGGATTCAGAAAAGTATTCCAAATTCTGCGAGGAAGAAGATTCACATTAAGATCTGTCGGCACACTCCTTGGTGTACACATGTTTTAAATGGGAAAGCTAAGAATGGCTTGTTCTTTTTTTACATGTGTCTGTCTTAACTTTTTTATTTTTATTTTTATTTTTCATGAGCATCGGATTCAGTGGGATTATTTTTCACTCTTTGCAATGAAAATATGAAATTGATAATGTGGTAAATTGATTATTTGTTTTCTTTATTAACGTATGCCAATTTTGTTTGATGACTATAGGTATCAAGAACTGAAGATGGAATAGAGATTTCAAACTTTCATATTACACACGATAGACACCATTTTGCATTTCAAAAGGCATTTATTGGAAAAAAAAATATACCTATATTAAAAGAATATAAGACTAAATCTGAAACAAAAAAAATATAGATTTATTTATGACGCGAAGTAGAGAAGTATTCCTGTTGAACGAAGGAGCATGTTAAAGGTGTTTGCTCCAGCTTATTTGAAATTTTGTCCAATTGAGGGGTTCAGCACAAGAAAATGTTGAAGATATTTCTTCATCATTTGCGTATTACAATTTAATAATATGTTGATGTTTCTTTATGTTGTTTGTTTCCAAGATTTTGGAACACTTCAAGGTAAATTAGTTTTGAGACAATAATAGTACATTAAAACAAATCAGATTAACAATGTTATCTTACACCGTTAATGGTCAATGGTTTATAAAGAACGGTGAACCACAAGAAGGAAATGAAGTGGAAGATGCTGCATAACAGGAGGCTCCAGTTGCAACTAACATTGTTGAATTTGTTTCACCATTGGACAAGGAAAAAACCATTATAAATGATATTGGGAAGAATGATGATATTGCTACTCTGTTCAAACACTAACATTGATACTCAAATTGAAGACCTCCAGAACAAATCACTGACATGCATTTCTTCCTCTTTCATGTTGGTTGTTATTATCCTGCGGTTTCTTTGCGGTGGGAAAGGCAGTGTCAAGGGCTTGATCATTGGGCTCATATTGAACCAACGCCTTTAGGTTTTGGTTGGGCCTCTATTGGGTTTGGATTTTTTTTTTCTTGGTGCTTCTTCCAGCATCTCAATAGTTTTTTCTGCATTCCCTTAAAGTTACCCTTAAAATTAAAAATTCGTAGGAGATTTATGTTTTCGTAACAAAACGTATTTGATTTGCGTGTTCAAAATTGTTGAATCCATAATACTTTTATAGAAAACACAAACTAGATCATTTTATATGAATACGTGGTATAGAAAAAAAAAAGAGTATAAACTCTTTTTACTATAAAACACTTACCTAACCAACATTTAGATCCAATTTTATCCTAATTAATTTATCCCAACATTTAGATATACCTTCCCAAAAGATAATCTTTACGTGGACAATTTTCCCTCTTTTGCTATCAGATTTGCTACACCACCAACTATTATAACTAATTATCCAACCTTACATGTGATTTTTATATTATATATATATATAGTCTGCTTATGAATATATCGGTTGAAAGAATTTTTTTTTTATCAATTAAAACAATCTTTTTCTTACATGAATATTTTTTATTATATATAATAAATTATACTCTTTTTATTATATATAATAAACTTATAGTGTAGTATTATAAAAATTTCATACTTTTTTTAAAGTTTATTTAAAGACTTTTATGTTATTTTTTAACTCATTAGCATTTTTGTTGATCATAGAAAACACATAAAACTCAACTCCATAAACAAATAAAACCCTAATCTCCAAACCTTTCCACCGCTACCACCTTGCATGATTAGGTCCATGATTTTCCTGCCAAGCTGAGGAAGCATGTGCATTACAATAAATAAAACTAATCACTAAACCAAAATATAATAGATTTTCTAAAATATATATAACTGAAAATAAAAAATAAAATAAATTACTGTCAAAATGATAATTTGCCCTATTTTCTTACAACCATAACAGAATATATCATATTTCAGTATCTGAAATGTTGTATTTTCTCATCTATAATGAATTTAAAAACAAGTTTTTAAATATAAAAATTATATTCAAAAATATATTTTTTATTATAATGGTTTAATAATTTTTATAAACAAGTTTTTAAATATAAAAATTATATTCAAAAATATATTTTTTATTATAATTATTTAATAATTTTTATAAGAAAATATATTATTAAATGTCTAACGTTTTAACAATTATTCCTTTATAATCATTTAATATATCACATATGATAATTATAAAATAAGTCAAACTCCCTCTCCTCCTTTTCTTGCAATTCCTTCCTCAGATTTTCCATTTGGATGTCATTTTCCTCTGCTTTCCAATACAGACCATCCCCTGTGAAACACATGGCAAAAACAAATCAAAACAACACACATTTGTTTCAAGCTGATTATGCAGTGAATGACTGAATTGAACCCAAAACATTGAACATTTAGAAGGGTAAGGTGATTTAATTGAACCCCACCACCACAATCCACTTTTCAAAGGACATTAATAGCATAAAAGCACAAGGCAAAATCACCATGAATTCATGTTCTACAAATCATAATTTGCTTAAACAAGTACACTAGTATAGAGAGAAAGAGAGAGACCATCATATGTTCTTTGAATGAGTTCATCAAGCTCTGTCTTGATTTCAAGATAAAGTTTCTTCCATTTCTCCACAGCTTCATCTCTCCTTGCTCTCTCCTCCTTCATCTGCTCAACCAAGAGCTTAGTCCCCATCAATTCCCACTCCTTCTCACTGTTCTTCTCCATCATTCCAACCTCCATCTCCCTTATCTTCTCATCCTTCTCTTCCACCAAACTCCTCAACTGCTTCACCTCCTCCCTCAGCCTCTTCCCCTCCTGCTTCCAATCTGCCTCCTTGAAAGTGAACACCATTATGTCAAAAAAATAATTTATACAAAAAAAACATGCTATCCTATGATTTTGGCAGAGTTAAATCATATACACATTGATCAAATTAATATATCTAAAAAACTAGTCATTCTAGCAAAAATTTTAAATTTATGCATATAATATTGTTATTAAGATGATGATTATCAAGAATTCAACACAAAATAAGGAAAGTTGATGACACAATGATACCAAACAAACTGTTTACAACTATTTATTGCAATCAGGGATATTATAAGATACAGTGAATGACATGTAGTCATATAAATAATGGAAACGGTTGTACATTGTATTTATGACTAATATAAACAAGAGCCTATGCTGTGTAAATTAGCGCAATTCATCCTTTCTTTCATTCTTCTGTCTCTTTCTCAACAACTATTTCAGACTCTTGCAATCCCCAATTTCTCACAGACACCTTTGATCAACCCATGAAATAACTCTAAGAAAGAATATCAAGTTTGTGCAGAGCATAGCACTCACATACTCGACAATAAAACTGATTCTTCGAGATTTAGTAACTGATACTGGTTCAAACCACACAGGACACTCCATGTCGGCCGCAACTTAGGAATGTAGATATTTATACAATGAAAACAACTTCTGTAGTGAGTTTGTAACCCAGCAGAGAGATGGAAAAAGAGAATTAAATTAGCATGCAATGTACTTTTACAAGCAGCTTCAAGAGCATAATGGCTCAGATTCGCATCGACCATCAAAACTGGAGCAGAAAGTAAGGTGCTTTTGAAGTGTAAGATCCAGTCAGATGTAAGATACTATTATATTTTCTTTTTCCTTGCTTCAGTCTTTTATATAACTGTCATTACAAAAATAAGTTCCAAAATTCATCTTTTAGCTTGCTTAAGTTAGTATATCACTGGCTATGCTTGAATGGTCAACTTACAAGAGCCTCCACACTAGCAACACCAGCTGCTACCTCACCTTTAACATCAAATATATTGCATACAAATGGTTTTTCAATATCTTTATCCTTCCATATACCTACCTCAAATTCAATAATATACAATAAAAATCATTATTTTACATAGTTATGGTAGATCTAATGAAAAAACCGCGAAGAAAAAATAACTTACCTTCTGCAGATAGGCCAGCAGATTTCCACTGATTCAACAACAGGTTTCCTAGATGAAAATAAAAATAAAGAGAATAAAGGAAGAATTCTGTAAGTTTCTTCTCTACATTTATTCTCCAAATGTCACTTTCATCAAAGTATCTTCTGATACATACACAAGTCATTAATGGCAGAATATTCTTAACAGATTAGCATGCATGCATATCAGTTTACCTCCTTAGAGGAATGTATTATTCAAAACATTATAGATTGAGATACTTTATAATTTGTTAATTGTAGGAATAAGGGAAGAATGAAGATACTAATATATATATATATATATATATATATATATATATATATATATAATGGTTATCCATTAATCATTGTATTGTCCCTGCTGATGGATATGTGATACAAAAATTAAAGTTATTAGATGTTTTAGTAACGCAATGATCAATTTTTATGTATTTAACTGGTTAATAAAGTGTAGAAAGTCTAATACTGTACTCAAGGATCTAAGTAATTAAAGGTAATCTAAAAATAAGTGTTACGCATTGGACATCATAAATTAAACAACCAAGGGAGTCAAATATAGAAAACTACTGGAGTTGATTAGTAGGAGTTGAAATGTATTATTGATCAGATTAATTAAGTATTACAGGTAAAAGCAAACCGTATCTATTTTATAGAAGGGCATCGTTTATTTGTAGGATGGATTTCATGATCTTTAGTAGATTTCCACCCAAGAACCCTTTCCAATCCAATACAATTTCCTCTCATTTCTAGGATTGCGCAGATTCTTCAAAAATTTATTTTATATCATTTTTTTGTTAAAAAACAATACTACTTTTGTACTTTAGTCTAAGTATGACAAAAACACATCTCCAAATTTTTATAAATAAATCAGAAAAATGTCTCCACTATGAACAACCAACAAATTTAATAAAAACCAGTTGAAGTTTCCATAAACATGTCATCCTCTAGCTTTTATCATTACTCTTTGTCACAACATGTCATCCTCTTCAATCCAAAACAGTTTAAAAAATAGAGTTATCAAATAATTATGTTTTTCCAATTAATTCTCAAAAGCAGTTCTTCAAAATTGATTTCTAAAACTATTTTTAGAAACCAAAAAGAAAAATTAAATCTACCTCTCATTTTAATTTCCCATCATCTTCATTTAATATTTACAAATGAATGGGTTGTATATAGTTCTCTTAAGCACTTCTGTTAAGGTATTTCAACTTTATATTTATAGATGCATCATAGTAACTAAGCAAATATAAACCACAGTCCCAGAAAAGTAAGACAAAATGACATAATAATACACATACAATTATATATATATATATATATATATATATATATATATATATATATATATATATATATATATATATTTGAATTAACTTCTTAAAATAAGAACTTATAAGTAAAGAAAATAAGAAAGAAAATAAGAAGGAAAAAATGAAGAAAGTTTCTGTGTGAGATAAAATTAACTAACTTATGCAGAAGTTAAAAATAAACTTTTGAATAAGCTAAGCTTCTATAAATTAGTTACTACATTAGGTAGAATTAACTTATTCAGAAACTTATTCTATTTTTCTTTTCCTATAAGTGTTTAGCAAACTATACAAACAAAACCCTAATAGATTTTTTTTTCTTCTTTCCTTCTCAGATAAATATAGATAGAATATAGATAAATAACAACCTTACCAGCGACAGTGGTTCCAGATTTTGCTCATAATGAAGGTGTAGCATGAATGTCCAATACCATATTAGAATCATTTGTCGCTCAAGCGTTCATAACGTTGTTTGAGCGAAAAAGAACCCGAGGGTCCCCATTGGTTAAGGTTCCATCGCTCAAGCGATGTAAACCTCGCTTGAGCGAATATTGAACCACAGACCACAGACCTTAGATAGCGGTTAGATAGAACCGCTTTTAAGAATATATTAGATAGCGGTTATCTGTGAACCGCTGTCTAATGTATGTTTATAATAGCGGTTTTTTAATAACCGCTCCCTTATATCATACTTTTAAAGAGCGGTTCAACCTTGGCACGCTATAATAAATGTAGTTTAGATAGCGGTTGGCCAAATAACCACTATCTAAAGTCATATATGTCAAAGTGATCGACTATAATTGGGTAATAATCGATCATAATTTTCGATAACCGATTATAATTGAGAATGATCGATTATAGTTGGAAAACATCGATTATAGTTGGAGAACATCGATCATAGTTTGTCCCGGCGTTCATTCTCTCCCGGCTCTGATTCGTCTATGTTTAATATACTGTTCTAATTACTCGCAGATTCTCTGTTCTCTGTTTTCGTTCACTGTTGACTATCTCAATCGTCGTAAACATAAACCATGGATGGCAAAAGAAAAAACTCCAAGCGCACAAACTCAGAAGCGACTTCTTCAAGTACCCACACTGTGACCACAAAGGAGGTGATAGCCCCAAAGGTCCTTGACACCCAATACTTTGTTAATAACGGATTTGACTTCATTAGCAAAATATAACCGATCATATACCACTTATAATCAATCATCATAACGTATAATCGATTATAACATAAAATAATCGATCATTATCTGATTTTTCTAATATCGCTCAAGCGAAATTTACATCGCTCGAGCGACGCCCCCTGCTAAGATTGGGATTCTCGGGTTGTGTTTCGCTTGCGCGACTATTATCGCTCGAGCGATATCCGATTCAAACATGTGGTCACCCATGTTTCATTATGCGGCTAACTTTGATCGACGTTTAGCCAAGGTCAATATTCGCTCAAGCGAAACTTACACCGCTCGAGCGACGCCACCTGCTAAGATTGGGGACTCTCGGTTGTGTTTCGCTTGAGCGAGACTATTCTCGCTCGAGCGATATATTTGTCACTTTTAAGAGCGGTTAAAGTTGAACGCTATCATATATGTTAACTTTTAAGAGCGGTGAATATTTTGACTGCTCTTAAAAGTGAACTTATAATAGCGGTTCCATTTTAACCGCTATCTAAAAGATGCCTTTAATAGCGGTTAACTCTGGAACCGCTCTTTTTAGTATATTTAGATAGCGGTTCTGGGAACCGCTATCTTAAGTCCCAATTTAAAAAAAAAATTATTTAAATTTGGAAATTCCAATTTTTTTTTCTCATAATTTCTCATAATTTGTACCTGAAATTTTAGTTTCATGCAATTTTAGTCACATAATCTAAATGTACATATATACCAATTTTGTTTCATGCAAATTTTAGTTGTAGTTTGCTGTTATCATGCAGTGTGATTTTTATTACATGTTTTTCATTCGACGTAATATACAACCGATGATTGTTACGTAAATGTATGGACCATCAACTGCTGATAAATGCATTGAAGAAATTACAATTGCTGTTACATTGTTATATTTACATCCACAACTCTTACAAGATCAGAATGTATAGTCTACACTACTGTTGCACGTTTATGTCCTATCATATATACTCTAACACCATACCTCCAATTATTACGACTTCTCCATTCCCATACTCCAATTTTTTTCCTCTTAGTGCAACCTTGTCACCACCACCAACAACAACCAACAAATATCAAATAAATTTGCACAGAATCCATAGAGAAAAAAAGCAGAGATAAATAAAACAAAAATGACATTAAAAAGAAAGATGAGGGTACACAAATATTAGCACAAAAAGAGCTTCAAATTTAATTTCACGAACCAACATCTTTTTTTGTTAGAGTTGCTCAGTTGAAACCTATAACTTTGTGTTTGTCCTTATGATTCTATAAGAATAAACAGTATGCCTTTCTGCCCAGTTCAGGCATCATTTAGAAAATCTGCTCTTCTAAGTCAGAATGGGTTAAATGTAATTAACTGCTTATAAAACATCCAATAGACTGAGTGGAACTAACAATCCTGAAGTTCAGTATTGCGGGATTTCAAAACTTCCTAATCACAATTAATATATCATGTATCAAATATTAAGAAATATACTTATCACTCTCTCAGGATAAGGTATCACTATTGAATTACGGGAGAAATCAACTTTTTAACCACGGGTCCACAATCAAAGCAGTGTCTACAAGAGAAAAGTAAGAAAGAAAGAGAAGAACCAAGAACCAAAAACCAAAAGTGATTTTTAGAATAGTATTGAAATCACAATTACAATTATTTTTACAAAATTCTTAGAAAGAATCCTTTTTCTTAAGGATCAAAATTGTCAGAGAAAATTTTCACGTCTACTCAGCCAGCAAGTAATTGGGTTTCTCAATCCCAGACACCTCAATATCCAGTATCCCCTCCATCTTTCACCTCTTTCTTGTGGGTCAAATCATGCCTCTTTCTTGTGGATCAAATCATGTGTCGAGATTGCAGCACCCAAAACTTTCCTTTGAAAAGGGTTGATTAGGGTTGATTGAATAGCCAGATTCATACACTCGTGCTAATCTAAAGGCAAATTCTACAGATTTTGGTTGGAAAGTCCTTACCTTCATTTCAATTTCTTTTTTTAATCCACCTAAAAAAAGACTTACTATGTATTCTTCAGATATATTTGATAGATTCAATCTAGTAGTAATTGAATCAAATTTTTCATAATATTCCTACACAGAATTCTCCTGCCATAAACGCCGCAATTCTGCCATAGGATCGTCAATGCTCTCGGTTATTTTCTGCATATTCAATTCTTGCACAATTTGTTGAAAGAAGAAGCAAACCCCATAAAACTATCATCCATCTTTTTATATATACGTTTCTCTGTCTCACTAACCATTTGAATATAAATTCCTCCATCTTTTTTATTGCTTGAGGAACCAATTCTTGCACTATACGTTCCTCTATCTCTTTTCCTGCCTGAGTAACCATATCTTTTATAGCCCCAGGAACTAATTCTTGCCCTATATGTTCCTCTATCTCTTTTCCTGCCTGAGTAACCATATCTTTTATAGCCCCAGGAACCAATTCTTGCCCTATACGTTCCTCTATCTCTTTTCCTGCCTGAGTAACCATATCTTTTATGGCCCTAGTAACCCATCCTTGCCCTATACGTTCCTCTATCTCTTTTCCTGCCTGAGTAGAAGATTCTTGCATTATTTGTTCCTTCATGTCTTTTACTTCCTCACTAACCAATTTTTGCACTATTCCTCTCAGAGAATTAGTAAACTCCATATATCGATCATCCATCAGTTTAGACACACGCTCCATTATATCTTTTTCCATGTCTTTTATCGCTCGCCTGAGTTTCTGTTCCTCGATATTTTCCATGTCTTTTATCGCTCGCCTGAGTCTCTTTTATCGCCGGAGTCGAACGGGAACGGCTAGTCTCTGCAATAAGAGATCGAATGATACCAATAAGAGAAAAAAAAAGGAAGAACGAAAGAATAGAATGCATTATCAGAATAGCAAACTGATTTAGCAAAGAAAACTTACATGATTGGGCCTTAACGAGGAAATGAAAGGGTTTTAGCTAAAGAAGAAAAGGTAGAAAGAAATCTACAAGTTAGATCGAACTCTCCTCGATATGCTTTTCTTAATCTTTCCCGTAAGAGAGTCACAGATGAGGAAATTGCCGATGCCCCTATCTTTCTCCTGATCCGCCCCTAAACAATAGCAATAGCACGAATCCTAAATTGTCAAATTTTGTTTCATGCAAATTTTAGTTGTAATTTGTCAAATTTTGAATTGTTTTCTACAATTTTGTGAATATATATTGTATGTTGGCTGAATTTTGTTAGATTAATTTGAAATATACCCTAAAATTGTGGTGTATCAGGTACAAATTATGAGAAAAAAAAATTGGAATTTCCAAATTTAAATATTTTTTTTTTAAATTGGGACTTTAGATAGCGGTTCCTAGCACCGTTATCTAAATATACTAAAGAGAGTTCACTTTTAAGAGCGGTAAAAATATTCACCGCTCTTAAAAGTTAACATATATGATAGCGTTCCACTATAACTGCTCTTAAAAGTGACAAATAAATCGCTCGAGCGAGTTTAGAATCGCTCAAACGAAATACAACCGAGGGTCCCCAATCTTAGCAGGTGGCGTCGCTCGACCGGTGTAAGTTTCGCTTGAGCGAATCTTGACCTTGGCTAAACGTCGATCAAAGTTAGCCGCATAATGAAACATGGGTGAATACATGTTTGAATCGGATATCGCTCGAGCGATAATATTCACTCAAGCGAAACACAACCCGAGAATCCCCAATCTTAGCAAGTTCGTCGCTCGAGCGATGTAAACTTCGCTTGAGCGATATTAGAAAAATCAGATAAAATGGTCAATTATTTTAGGTTATAATCGATTATACGTTATGATGATCGATTATAAGTGGTATATGATCGGTTATATTTTGCTAATGAAGTCAAATCCGTTATTAACAAAGTATTGGGCGTCAAGGATCTTTGGGGCTATCACCACAGTTTGGGTACTTGAAGAAGTCGCTTCTGAGTGTGTGCGCTTGGAGCTTTTTCTTTTGCCAGCCATGGTTTATGTTTACGACTATTGAGATAGTCAACAGTGAACGAAAACAGAGAACAGAGAATCTGCGAGTAATTAGAAAGGAAAGAATCCATTAACCTCAATGGTTGTTGTATGCTTCTTCTGCGTGCGCCGGCGAGAGAGATGTAGACCGAAATTATGTAAAACTATAATCGCTTAGCACAAACTATGATCGATGTTCTCCCACTATAATGGATCATTCCCAATTATAATCGGTTATCGAAAATTATGATCCATGATTGTCCAATTATAGTCGATCAGTTTGACATATGTGCCTTTAAATAGCGGTTATTTGGTCAACCGCTATCTAAAATACATTTATTATAGCGTTCTAAGGGTCAACCGCTCTTTAAAAGTATGATATAAGGAAGCGGTGATATAAAACCCGCTATTATAAACATACGTTAGACAGCGGTTTACGGCTAACCGCTATCTAATACATATTTAAAAGTGGTTCTTATTAACCGCTATCTAAGGTCGCTCAAACAATGGGGACTCTCGGGTTCAGTCGCGCTCAAGCGACTATGTGATCGCTTGAGCGAAAGTTGAATCTTATATGTGGTGAACCAAGTTATATTAGATGGCTAACTGCGTAGAACGTTTCGTCTGTCGTTCACAAGTCGCTCAAGCGAGAATGACATCGCTTGAGCGATGGAACCTTAACCAAAAGGGACCCTCGGTTCTATCTCGCTCAAGCGACGTTATGAACGCTTGAGCGAAAAGTGTTTCTAATATGTGGTTATCCAAGTTATATTATTTGCATAAACAGTTCACTACAGGAACAAAATGAGAAGAATGCACTTACTTGAACCGTCAAAATGCAGGTCAGGAAAAGGATTTCCGATAGACAATGATAATGGAGGAGATTGATGGTCAGAAGGTCACAAATCAACAAATTTCTTCAACGTTGGTGCTACTATCCCCCACAAGTGATATTCGATTACTGTCGGTCTAACTGATTGAATTTCCATTTTATTTACAGGTAGGGTTCGCTCGAGCGACTTGATTGTCGATTATTTTTAATTATGACATATTAATTAAAATTATAATCGATTAGAAAAAATTATGATCGATTATTTCCCAATTATAATCGATCATCTGAACTTATAATCGATTATAATCTAAAATAATCAATTATTTTATCTGCGTTGGGTATTCTAGGGTTGTATTTTGCTCAAGTGAAGCAAATCTCGCTCGAGCGACAAGTGATTGAAATATGTGGTGACCTAAGTTATATTATGTGGCTAACTGTGTTTCACCTTTAGTATATGGTCAACACCCGCTCAAACGAAAAATACATCACTTGAACAAGGACACCTGCAAATAATAGGGATTGTCGTGTTGTGTTTCGCTCAAGCGAAGCAAATCTCACTTGAGCAACAAGTGATTGAAATATGTGGTGACCCAAGTTATACTATGTGGTTAACGGTGTTCGACCTTTAGTTTGTGGTCAATACTCACTCAAGCGAAAACTACATCGCTTGAGCGAGGAAACATACAAATAATGGGATTCTCGGGTTGTGTTTTGCTCAAGCGCCGTAATTTTCGCTCGAGCGATAGGTGATTCAAATATGTGGTGAAACAAGTTATATTATGTGTCTAACTGTGTTGGACCTTTAGTCTATGGTCAACACTCGCTCAAGCGCGAAATCCATCGCTTGAACGAGGTGACCTGCAAATAATGGGGATTCTCGGGTTGTGTCTCACTCAAGTAAGGTAAATCTCGATCGAGCGACAAGTGATTCAAATATGTGGTGACCCATGTTACATTATGTGGCTAACTGTGTTGGACCTTTCGTCCGACGATGGTCAATTCTCGTTGGAGCGAGTAGTACAATGCTTGAGCGATGAAACCTACAACTAATGAGTATTCTTGGGTTCTATATCGCTGAAGCGATGGAGTTGAGACACGAGCGAGAAGTGCTTGAAATATGTGCTGACCCGAGTTATGTTACATGGCTACGCACTTTTTGTGTTGGACCAATAGGCCAGTTACAGGCCTGATGAAGTATATGAAATAATGAAGGTTGGAGCAAGGGGCTGAAGTTGCATGAGAACTGGGATGTACACCTGCTGCAATAGATAGCTACTTCACTATTGAACAATATGATATACAACCACAACTTACTTTGTTACAATTTTATTTTTGTTTTGTAATTTTAATAAATTTCTACTGCTAATTTTTCTGGTAACAGATTAACATACGTACTGACACCTTAAATGAAGCTGGCTTTGTCGAACATAGTATTGCCTAATGTAAAGTAAGAACTATCCATACTTATCATAGGTATAAGCTAACTTCAAAATTGTTTCCTTTATATAAGCCTCAGAAGTGACATGCAAATTTCAATCTGTTTTTTGTTATGCACATTCTTTACAATTTATATTAAACATGATGTTATCTGTTGTGTACAAAGATAATACGTAAACCTATACATCTCTCCTACAGTGAATATTATCACTTGTACAATTTCCATATGCTAGTTTATATTGTTCTCTTCCCTTGTTCTTTTAATCTTAATTTCTTTTATATTACAAATTAATATCTTGCCATCACAAATTCAAATGGAAATTAGTGAGCATTTTGTTTTATGAAACTAAGTTGTACTTGGCCGATTCTTGATATTACTATGATATTTACTTCAGAAGTGAAGGAGCAAGTGGTGGCCATGCTCCAGATATCATCAAAGTATGTGTATGAAGAATGTTCTACCCTCATCAACCAATCCAACATGCCCTTTAACAATTAATACTATAGAGGAGCATCTTCATATGTTGGTAACATATAAATCTAGTAGTAATTACGTGTATTTTGTAGACATGTGGTTCTCAATATAGACTCTCTGTTACATGCAGATAGTATGCCATTATCTGAATAGGGATATTTTGGAACTAGAAGGGTAAAACTCAATGAATAATGTAATTGTCAACATAAACAAAAATGATACAAGAAATAGTAAGCATGGTCCAAAATCAGTAAATTGTACAAAGTGTCCACTTGTTAATGTCATAATATTTAGCATTTAAATAATCCATAACCAACTTAACGGTTATATTACATATGAATAAACTGTACAACATTGATCATTGAAGATGAACAAATAATCAAATACAATATCCACATTTCTATTCCTAAATGGGGATGTTAACTCCTGATTCAATAACCATGACTTGTTGATGAAGATTTTGAGGATGAAGTATCCATCTGCATACATATTCTTCATGAAATTTCTGAAGTTGCTCCTGTACAATATGAAGAATGTCATAATAAATTATACTCATAGTAATAAAAAACAAAACATTAATAAAATGAATTTAATGTTTACCGATGTGTAATGAGGCATGCTTTTCTCATTCACTTTCCTCACACCATCCCACAACTCCATATATTTTAAAACAAACAATCCACAATCATAACTGCACATATACTTTCTCTCTAGCGGTAAAGTCTCTATTATTATTAACCTCGTTCTAACCTTACCTCTTACAAATAAATGATATATTCAACATGTTTATGTCAACAATGCACTTTAAAATCAATTAGTACATGTTTACATGACCCAACCACTGGGCTTTGAGTCAGAAGATTCTCATACAATATTACAATCTAATTTTTGGACAGAAAATACATCTTATTATTACTAAAATATTTAGTTGAATACACATTTATCATAGACACTCTATGAAGAGTACATGGCAAGAGTACTGTGTTGACTCCTCACTTATGCGATAGTTAACAAAACTATTATAACAAACTGAAAAGATGTTGTAACTAACTGAAAATAGTTACAAAGATAATGATCACCTATGACAAAGATTATCGTAAAAACTACCAGTAAATCATATAACTATTCAGTTTCCAGCCAATATGAACTTGACTAATGTTTCTCATGCAAGATACCAGGAGTCCATTAAGAAAATAGGATTTCTAAAGAATATAAGTTACACAAACAAAGTACGAAGCATTGTTTTATCACACTAAATTATCAGGATTTGAACCTGACTATGGTGATCTCAACTTGCTTTTACTCATTAAAAAAACCCAATCGGAAAAAACTTAAATATTCAGTTTCCAGCCAATATACTTTTCAAAATGTTTCTCATGTCAAGATACTGGGAGTCCATTAAGAAAATAGGATTTCTAAAGAATATACAGTTACACAAACAAAGTACGAGACATTGTTTTATCACACTAAATTATCAAGATTTAAACTTGACTATGGTGATCTGAACTTGTTTTTACTCATAAAGAAACCCAATCGAAAAAAGCTTAACTATTCAGTTTCCTGCCAATATACTTTTCAAAATGTTTCTGATGTGGTTATCAACATACCAGGAGTCCATTAAGCAAACACAATTTTAACAAAATATACAGTTACACAAAACAAAGTACGAGACATTATTTTATCACACTACGTTATCACCATAGTCTGATCTGAACTTCCTTTTACTCATAAAGAAACCCAGTCAGGAAAACCTTAACTATTCAGTTTCCAGCCAATATACTTTTCAAAATATTTATGATGTGGTTATCAACATACCAGGAGTCCATTAAGTAAACACAATTTCAACAGAGTATACAGTTACATAAACAAAGTACGAGACTTAATGGACTATATTTTTCAGTCACAATTGGTTTTCACAAATACAATTTGCTTAATGGACTCAACAGAATATAAAGTTACACAAACACAATATGATTTCACAATAGAATATACAGTTACACACAAAAATTGTTTTCGTATTTCATTAAGCAAACACAAGTCAACTGAACAAATTTATTGTACTAAAAAGAGTGAAGCATATGAGATAAGGAATATAGTCATTCAATATTTCAGCATATTTCAATCATAAGCCTTTCATAACATATTTTTGCTTCATTGTATCATATCATCAAACATCTGTTGGATATTAATATACAATGAAAGCAGTTTTCGCAAAACAGACCAATACTTAATGCAGGGTTGCAAAAAAGTCGAAGACTCACCATAGGGGTCGCAGGGGTTGCAAAACAGTAGAAGACTCACCGCAAGGGTCACAAAAAGTTGAACACTCAAGAAACCAGTGTTCACAACTGACGGTACTGGTACTCTTGTCTCCTCACTCTGATCACAACGACAATAACACTCACAGAGCAGAAACCCTAACCAAAATGGACGAAAGAACGACGAGAGAGTTGGAGCAGACGAGAGAGCGACGAGAGTGACATGCAATTCTCCATCCCTCCATTTTAACAATTTTACTCTTTTAAATTACAAATCACACCCTCATTTTTAAATAATTAACATTTTAGGCAATGATCAATTTTTATGTATTTAGTTGGTTAATAAAGTGTAGAAAGTCTAACACTGTACTCAAGGATCTATGTAATTAAAGGTAGTCTAAGAATAAGTGTTATGCATTGGACATCATAAATTAAACAAGATCCAGTCAAATATAGAAAACTACTGGAGTTGATTAGTAGGAGTTGAAATGTACTATTGATCAGATTAATTAAGTATTACAGGTAATAATACATATATATATATATATGTATTATATATATATATATATATATGTATTTTATATATATATATATATATATATATTTGAATTTATAAGTAAAGAAAATAAGAAGGAAAAAATGAAGAAAGTTTCTGTGTGAGATAAAATTAACTTATGCAGAAGTTAAAAATAAACTTTTGAATAAGCTAATAAAAAAGAGCTTTTATAAATTAGTTACTACATTAGGTAGAATTAACTTATTCATAAACTTATTCTATTTTTCTTTTCCTATAAGTGTTTGGCAAACTATACAAACAGAACCCTAGTAGGTTTCTTTTCTTCTTTCCTTCTCAAATAAAATATAGATAGATAACAACCTTATCAGGGACAATGGTTCCATATTTTGCTCCCAGGCATACCCCCAATCATTACGACTTCTCCATCCCCATACTCCAATTTTTTACCTCTTAGCGCAACCTTGTCACCAACAACAACAAACAAATATCAAATAAATTTGCACAGAATTCAATGATAGGGAAAAAGGCAGAGATAAATAAAACAAAAAAGGTGAGGATACACAGATATTAGCACAAAAAGAGCTTGCAGTATGCATATCAATTTTATTAGTTTAATTTCACCAACTAACATTTTCCCCGTAATGCTACCCTAGAATCCTGTTACTGTATTTTTATTTTATTTTTCTTCATTGCAGGTAACTATTCGACACTGAACTAATCCATATGAATGACATTTTTGGTTATAGTTGCTCAGTCAAAATCTATAACTTTGTCTTTGTCCTTGTGATTTTATACCAATAAATAGTATGCCTTTATGCCCAGTTCAAACATCATTTAGAAATTCTGCTCTTCCAAGTCAGAATGGGTTAAATGTAATTAAGTGCTTATAAAACATCAAATAGACTGAGTGGAACTACCAATCCTGAAGTTCAGTATTGCGGGATTTCAAAACTTCCTAATCACAATTAATATATCATGTAACAAATATTAAGAAATATATTTATCACTCTCTCAGGATAAGGTATCACTATTGAATTACGGGAGAAATCAACTTTTTAACCACGGGTCCACAATCAAAGCAGTGTCTACAAGAGAAAATCAAGAAAGAAAGAGAAGAACCAAGAACCAAAAAGTGATTTTCAGAATAGTATTGAAATCACAATTACAATTATTTTTACAAAATTCTTAGAAAGAATCCTTTTTCTGAAGGATCAAAATTGTTAGAGAAAATTTCCATGTCGAATCTGCCAGCAAGGAACCGAGCAAGTAATTGGGTTCCTGACACCTTAGTATCCCCTTCATCTTCCGCCTCTTTATCGTATCATATTTTGAGATTGTACCACCCAAAACTCCCCTTTGGAAAGGATTGATTGAATTGATTTGTCATCTCAGATGGTTGATTGTCGGTTGATTGAATTGAGATATTCATACATTCTAGCTAATATAAAAAAGGGTTGATTGAATTTGTAGTATTCATTGAATTGGCAGATTCATACTTTTGTGCTAATGAAAAGGCTCGTTCTACGGATCTAGGTTGGAATATCTTTGCCACCATTTCGATTTCTTTCTTTAATCCACCTAAAAAAAGATTTAGTACATACTCTTCTGATATATTCGATAAATTCAATCTAGTAATAATTGAATTAAAATTTTCATAATATTCATCCACAGATTTCTTTTGTCGTAAACATTTCAACTCTATCATAGGATCATCACTGCTCTCGGCTATTTTCTGCTTTATTTGTTTGAAAGAAATAGCAAACTCCATAAAAGTAGTATCCATCTTTTGAGATATATGTTCCTCTACCTGAATAACCATTTGAGATATACGATTCTCTGCTTGAGAAACCATTTGAGATATACGATTCTCTGCTTGAGAAACCATTTGAGATATAGGTTCTTCCATGTCTTTTAGTGCCTGAGTGATCAATTTTTGGACTATTTGTTTTTCTATATCTTTTATTGCCTGAGTAACCGATTCTTGTACTATTTGTTTTAAAGAAGTAGCAAGCTTCATACAATGAATATCCATCTTTTGAGTATGAATATCTATCTTTTGAGATATACTTTCCATGTTTTTTTTGCCTGAGTTTCTTTTATTAACTGAGTCGAACGGGTTGCATCTGTCATATGAAATGTTCAGGAAGGACCGAATTGATTAAAGAAAAAGAGAAATCAGATCTGAATGATAATTGATAAAAGAAAAGAGAAAAAATAAAAATAAAAATAAAAAGAAGGAAGAGAATAATGAAAGAACATAATTCATTATTAGAATAGCATTGAGAGATATATACGCACCACTTTTCAATAAGAACGAAAGAATAGAATAAAATGTTCAATGTGTGCACCTATAGAGAAGAACGAAAGAATAGAATAACCTTGAAGCTGTTACTTTATTTAAGTCACCTTCAATTTTTTTAATAGATTATTATGAATAAATTTTAAAGGATAATTAATTTTAAAAGGATGTGAAAATAAAAATATTTTTTTTTAAATTCTTATTAATTTCAACGTAAAAAAATTACTGAAAACACTATCATTTATAAATTTTAAATTAATAAATGCTATCTGATATAAAAATCACTTCTGTATTTAATGTATTATAAAATAGAATTAAAATTTTATACATTCTAATTGTAATATTTTTTTAAAAATATTTTAAAATTAAATCATTTCATTTCATTTTTTTATATTTAAATTTCTCTGTGATAAACTGTCAATGTCTATAATCCATATTACTATCAATTTATAATGATTTTACCTTTAATATTTATATTTTTAATTAGTTTTATATAATTTTTATGATTTTATTCTTCATACTGTCGTATTTGATTAATAAAAAAAATATTTAATTATATTAATTATTTTTAACTTTTGTAAAATGTAGATGATTTACTCTTAATATTTAATAATTGCATAAAAAATACATTTTTAGTTATATTAACTAATTTATACTATTGTAAAATATATATATATATATATATATATATATATATATATCGTGTTTACATTAATAATATGTAAATAAGAAAAATAAAGATTTTAAGGGTCCGTCCAGTAAAAAAATAAAATTAAAAGATAAGTAAAAAGTAAAATAAATAAAAATATACATATTAAAACAAATATAAAAAATAATTTAAAAAGAAAAACTAAAAAAATTAATATTTATATAATTATAAATTATTCTTATAATTATTAATTATCTTTTTATAAATAAAATAATTTGTAAAATTAACACATTGGAATTAAGTTTTTTTATAGTTTATATTTTGAATATTATTGTAGAATATACTTTATTATAACCTATAATTTGATATATAATTTTTATATTTGAATTAAAATTAATAAAGATTATATAAAATTAAATTAATTTTATTTAACTTTATAATAATTTATATATTTATCAAAATTATAAAATAATAATTAAAAATTAAATTATATATATATATATATATATATATATATATAGTAATCTTTCTATTTATATTTCATTGTTTAAATTTAATACAGGAATATTAAATATAAATTGTTTCCGAGAAGAATTTATAATATATGATGATATATAAATAAATAAATAAATCGTGAAATAATTATTTTCATTTTTTATTTATCAAACTTTATAAAATAATCATAGAAAAGTAATTTAACTTTTTATTAATATTTGAATATTAAAATTTAATGAACAAATATTTAAGAAATTATTCATACAAAATTATAACATAAGGATAAATATTTTTTTTATTAAATAAAATAATTATTTTAATTATATGTTTTCATTTCTTTTTCTCTCATATATTATTAGAAAATAAACAATAAAAAGTAACATATTTTTTCTAATATCTTTGTTTGTTTTTAGTTATCAACTTAGTTTTCATGTTAGATTAAGTGTTAAATTAAATAATTTAAATTTATTATTATGATTTTGTTTATAACATTCTAATTTTCTCTATAATAATTTTAATTATAATGTATAAAATAAAAATATATTATATTAATGAAGATAATATATATAATAAAGATAATTTTTTAATAATAAAAAATATTATTAACTGAAAATTAAATAATTTATATAAAAATAACAACTTCAATAAATAACATAAAAAAATCTAAATATATTCATAATTATTCTTCTTATTTTTTTAATCACAAATATTGCATAATCAAACGAAATTATTAATAAAAGAATTGTAACTTTTTGAAAGTAGAATCATTACGTATATAAATTATTTTTATATATATTTTAAGAGAAAGAAATATTTTTAGGAACTGAAATATAAATTTTTCATATAATTTTAGTTTCAATAAATATAATTTGGTTTAAAAGTTGTAATTTATTCAATTTTTATATATATATATATATATATATATATATATATAACTATAATTTACTCTAATGCATATAATTTACTATTATTATATATTATATAATAATCATAATATAATTTATTTTTAATATATCATAAAGAGTATATTTATTTATAAATAAAATAATGAATTTTATAATTTTATAATTATTAATTAAAATATATTATAAAAACGCCACCTTTTACTTTTTTTAACCTTATATAGTTCATAAATAAAGTAAATATACCTTTTTCTAATATATTAGATTTGTGTTACTAATAACTTTACATATAAAATGATAAGCATATATAATTACTAATTGAAAGTTATATGCAATTAATTTCTTTAGATAATATTTTGTGATAAAAAGTAATGATTACTTAATAAAAATAATATCAATGTTATTTTTAACATATTAAACAAAAAAAATATAAATAAATCAGAAAAATTTATTTTATATATTTTTTTGTTAAAAAATGATACTACTTTTGTACTTTAGTCTAAGTATGACAAAAACACATCTCCAAATTTTTATAAATAAATCAGAAAAATGTCTCCACTATGAACAACCAACAAATTTAATAAAAACCAGTTGAAGTTTTCATAAGGGGTCCCTCTTGACCACAATAAATGCTCAAATATATTAAAAAAAGAAAAAAGAAAACAGCATTGCAAGAAAATGCTTTGTGATGTAAGAATTTACCTGCCATGTCAAACCCAATAGACCTCCTTGGAGGTAATGGACCTGAATATTTTGAGGTATAAGAAGATAGATACAAATATAATAGAAATTATCACAACAGTAAAGAATGCTTATTGTTGTCACACCATTAACAAGATTGAGTTAACCAATGACTGTTAGTGTAAGTAGCAAGAACTTCGGGCTTGTTGTTTACTGTTTAAAAACAGTTTTCAATATTTTAGTTTTTTAAAAATTAAAAAACTTGTTTAGTAACTGTTTTATTAAAACAAATTTTGTTTATGTCAAAGTCATTCTCTAGTTTTTATCATGACTCTTTTTTATCGCAATATTGCATCTCTTCAATCTAAAATAGTTTAAAAATTAGAGTTATATATATATATATATATATATATATATATATATATATTTGAATTAACTTCTTAAATGAACCACTTATAAGTAAAGAAAATAAGAAGGAAAAAAATGAAAAAAGTTTCTGTGTGAGATAAAAGTAACTTATGCAGAAGTTAAAAATAAACTTTTGAATAATCTAATAAAAAAGAGCTTCTATAAATTAGTTACTACGTTAGGTAGAATTAACTTATTCAGAAACTTATTCTATTTTTCTTTTCTTAAGAGTGTTTAACAAACTATACAAACAGAACCCTAGTAGGTTTCCATTCTTTTTCCTTTTCAGATAAAATATAGATAGATAACAACCTTGCCAGGGACAGTGGTTCCAGATTTTGCTCCCAATGAAGGTGTAGCAAAAAACCAATCCTGTAGTAGGTAACTATTCGACAGTGTACTAATCCATATGAATGACATTTTTTTGTTATAGTTGCTCAGTCAAAACTTATAACTTTGTCTGTCCTTATGATTTTATACCAATAAACAGTATGCGTGCCTTTATGATTTTATACCAATAAACAATTATAATTGTAATTATTTTTTACAAAAACCAAAACCTAGCAATTACTTTATTTATATCTGTCTCAACCATAAAAAGAATCTTTGTCATCAAGATTAAAATTGTGAAATTTTCCCTTTAAATAAGAGAAAATTTTCATGTCGAGTCAGCAAGCAAATAATTGGGTTCCTCTATCGTCTTTCACTAGAATCCACCTCTTCCTCTTTCTTTCTTGTAATCAAACGATGTTATGGAAAATAAGGTTGGTCACAAAAATAACATAAGCCAACCTTTTAACTCTTCTTTCCCACGTAACTCAACCCTTTAACTCTTTTTCCCACATGTACGTGTTAGGTGTTAAGGTGCTTGTGATTGTAGTACCCAAAACTCTCCAAAACTCTCCTTTGGAAAGGGGTGAATGAATTGGTTTGGAACCTTGAATGGGCAGATTCATACGTTAATGCTAATGTAAAGGCACGTTGTACGGATTTGGATTGCAAGATCTTTATCATCATTTAAATTTCTTCTTTTAGCCCATCTAAAAAACAACTTAGCATATATTCTTCTGATAGATTCAATCTGGTAATAATTGAATTAAATTCTTCGTAATATTCATTCACCAATTTCTTTTGCTGTAAACATATTAACTCTGTCATAAGATCGTCAATGGTATTACTTTGAGCCGTTTTCTGTGTAACCAATTCTTGTACTATTTGTTTCAAAGAAACAACAAACTCCATAAAACTAGCATCTATCTTTTGAAATATATGTTCCTCTATATTATTTTGAGATATACGTCCCTCCATATTATTTTGAGATATACGTTCTTTCATATCCATCTTTTTTTGAGATATACGATACTCCATATCTTTTATTACCTCTGTATCTTTTGTTGACTGAATAACCAATTCTTGTACTATTTGTTTCAAATAACCAGCAAACTCCATAAAACTAACATCCATCTATTGAGATATACGTTCTTCTATGTCTTCATATATACGTTCTTCCATGTCTTTTATTGGCTGACTAACCGATTCTCGTACTATTTGTTTCAAAGAATCAACAAACTCCTTATAACAAGTGTCCATCTTTTTATATATACCTTCTACCATATTTTTTATTGCGTGAGTCTCTTTTATTGTCTCATTAATCGGGAAGCGTCCGTCATCTGACTTTTTCAACAAGTACCGAATGATAATTGATAAAAGAAAAGAGAGAAACTAGAAAGAAAGAAAAAAAAAAACGAAAGAATAGAATGTATTATTAGAATAGCATTGAACCGTTTATAGAAAAAAAAAAAAACAACAGAATAGAATGCATTATCATAATAGCATTGAGATATATATACGCACCGCTTGAAGCCAAGCGGTTAGTTTATTTATATCACCTTCATTCTTAATTTTGGATTTTTCTCTCCAAATCAGATAGCAAATAAAACTGAGCGAGACTTTTCTCTCCAAATCAGATAGCAAAGAAAACTGAGCTAGACTTCTTCAGATTCAGGTATCTCTATGTGAATATACTCATAAACACATACATACATAACTAGTATATATATTACATTATTTGTTTCCTATTCACTTAACTTACTTGAAAATGGTAAAGAGAAGCAAAATGAAAAGAGAAGGTAAAGGGACCTCGGAACTGACCGGCTTCAAGGCCCGCGAAGGACTGTGGATTCGGCCATGCAATACTTTGTTCAATTTATAATGATTTTACCTTTAATATTTATATTTTTAATTAGTTTTATATAATTTTTATGACTTTTATTTTTGATACTATCGTATTTGATTAATAAATAGATATTTAATTATATTAATTATTTTTTACTTTTGTAAAATGTAGATGATTTACTCTTAATATTTAATAATTGCCTAAAAAATACATTTTTAGTTATATTAACTAATTTATAGTACTGTAAAATATATAAAGATTTATATATATATATATATATATATATATATATATATATATATACGTGTTTACATTAATAATGTATAAATATGAAAATTAAAGATTTTGAGGGTCCGTTCAGTAAAAAATAAAATTAAAATATAAGTAAAAAGTAAAATAAATAAAAATATACATATTAAAAAATCATTTAAAAAGAAATAACTAGAAAATTTAATATTTATATAATTATAAATTATTCTTATAATTATTAATTATCTTTTTATAAATAAAATAATTTGTAAAATTAACACATTCGAATTAAGTTTTTTTAATAGTTTATATTTTGAATATTATTGTAGAATATACTTTATTATAACATATATAATTTTAAAATTTGAATTAAAATTAATAAAGATTATATAATATTAAATATATTAAATTAATTTTATTTAACTTTATAATAGTTTATATATTTATCAAAATTATAAAATAATAATTAAAAATTAAATTATATATATTAATCTTTCTATTTATATTTCATTGTTTATATTTAATACAGGAATATTAAATATAAATGGTTCTCGAGAAGAATTTATAATATATGATGATATATAAACTAAAAAAATCGTGAAATAATTATTTTCATTTTTTTTATCAAACTTTATAAAATAATAATAGAAAAGTAATTAAACTTTTTATTAATTTTTAAATATTAAAATTTAATAAAAAAATATTAAAAAAATTATTCACACAAAATTATAACATAAGAATAAATATTTTTTATTAAATAAAATAATTTCATAAAATAATTATTTTAATTATATGTTTTCATTTCTTTTTCTCTCATATATTATTAGAAAATAAACAATAAAAAGTAACATATTTTTTCTAATATCTTTGTTTGTTTTTAGTTATCAACTTAGTTTTCATGTTAGATTAAATGTTAAATTAAATAATTTAAATTTATTATTATGATTTTGTTTATAACATTCTAATTTTCTCTATAATAATTTTAATTATAATGTATAAAATAAAAATATATTATATTAATAAAGATAATATATATAATAAAGATAATTTTTTAATAAAAAAGATATTATTGACTGAAAATTAAATAATTTATATAAAAATAACAACTTCAATAAATAACATAAAAAAATCTAAATATATTCATAATTATTCTTCTTATTTTTTTAATCACAAATATTGCATAATCAAACGAAATTATTAATAAAAGAATTGTAACTTTTTGAAAGTAGAATCATTACGTATATAAATTATTTTTATATATATTTTAAGAGAAAGAAATATTTTTTCGGAACTGAAATATAAATTTTTCATATAATTTTAGTTTCAATAAATATAATTTGGTTTAAAAGTTGTAATTTATTCAATTTAAATATATATATATATATATATATATATATATATATATATATTTAAATAACTATAATTTACTCTAATGCATATTTTACTATTATTATATATTATATAATAATCATAATATAATTTATTTTTAATATATCATAAAGAGTATATTTATTTATAAATAAAATAATAAATTTTATAATTTTATAATTATTAATTAAAACATATTATAAAAACACCACCTTTTACTTTTTTTAACCTTTTATAGTTCATAAATAAAGTAAATATACCTTTTTCTAATATATTAGATTTGTGCTACTAATAACTTTACATATAAAATGATAAGCATATATAATTACTAATTGAAAGTTATATGCAATTAATTTCTTTAGATAATATTTTGTGATAAAAAGTAATGATTACTTAATAAAAATAATATTAATGTTATTTTTAACATATTAAATAAAATAAATATAAAGTTTATGTATCCTGTTTAAAAGAAATAATAAATTTATTTTATTAACTTAATTTTCTGTTTAAAAAATTATAATTATCTTAAATCAATTTTTTATTATTATGATTGATCAAAGTTTTTTAAATATAATATAATTATTAATTTAAACATAAATATTATAAATAAAATATAAAAAATAAAACATATTTGATGAGTTTTGATTTGTTGTTATTTTTGAATAAAAAATTCACCAAATAAATAATTTTTAAAAACAAAAAAAATAAAAAATAAGTTTAAAATTATTTTACAAGATATTTATTAAACAATTTTTTTTGTATTTTTAAAAAATAAATATTAACCCTGAAAACACCACTCAATGGTTACAAATTCAGAAAGAAAATATTGTCTTCAAAGAAGTAAAATATAGTGTTTATATTTTTAAGAAACAAGAAAAAAAAAACAAAAAAACAACTTTCACCAACCCTTGTTATAAATAATTTGGAAGTTGGCTGAGGATGATCACAGAGCAAAAGCGAAGAACTCACAGATACACAGAGAGAAGAGAAGAGAGATATGGCTTGCAGGGAATTGTGGGCTTCAAGGGCTGCCTCTTATCTGAGGATCTCTGTCTTTCACAGAAGTTTTTCCAATGGTAACATCTCTTTCTCCTTTCACCCTCTTTTTCTCTATGTGATGTGATCCACTTTTCATTTCTTATATTTCAATCATCACTAATAATTCTGTTATTGTCATGTGTGATGCTGTGGGTCTCGATCTACTATCATCCTTTAATGTTTTAAATCTAGGGTTTCTTCTTTGCTGATTTGAAATTCACACTTTGTATGATTTATCGATGTGGTGCTAATTTATGGTGTGTTTAAATGTCTGTTTAGTCATGAATAGAGATCTCTCAATATGGTGTCTTCATGCATGTATTTCAATGGCCTGAACTTAAGTTATGGTGGTAAGGGAAAGTGCACCACCCACCTATCCAAAAATGTCAGCATAAAAAAATAATGTGTCCAATTTTTTATGATTAGTTTTAGGCCTCTTCATATTTTTAATAGCAGTATTACGTGTGACCTACAAAATTTGTTGCATTTGGAACCTGGTGAAGGCCCAAATAGTTTAAATGATCAAACATGAGAATAACAAGGGTGGAGCTGGTAATGGTAACGGAAGGTGTATTGATAGAAGGGGTAAAAGGATTTTTATAGTACAAACAAAGTATATAGGAGACCAGGATAAATTCCATCAAAATTGAAAATTTATTTGAAAGTTACTTTTGGTTGTTTTGGCTTTTAAAATAAATCATTGTTATTTTTCGGTATTGCATTTTTGAGATACATATGTCAATTTCTGGTCGTTGAGTTATATATTCATTAATTCTAATTGGCTGGATAAGCGTAAACATTTCTAGCACATAACGGTTTTCTGAGTCTTTCCATATCCACATCTCCAATTATATGCCAAATGTATTGTGTGCATTTGAACATGTAGTATATGGAAAATGCTTGGTTGTATTTGTAGTTGTTGCTTCTAGCATTTCTGTCCTTAATCTACATAAAGGCTTCAATATACGAAGAAGAACACTTTTTTTTTTGAAGAAGAAGAAATTTAGTTTGCTAATTTTTAGTTATCCCTCTAACTTTTGTTGGCTTTTTCCATGTTATTCTTCCAGTTGTTAAAGATCTGAAGTATGCTGATTCCCATGAGTGGGTCAAAGTTGATGGAAATTCTGCAACCGTTGGCATAACTGATCATGCCCAAGATCATTTGGGTGATGTTGTGTATGTTGAGTTGCCTGAAGTGGGAGTCACCGTGACACAAGGAGATAGTTTTGGTGCAGTTGAAAGTGTGAAGGCAACTAGTGATATTAACTCTCCTGTATCGGGGAAAGTGATTGAAGTTAACGACGAGCTTAGTAGCTCTCCTGCTCTGGTGAGTTTTTTTGGCTAATTCTTAAAGAGCTTTTCACATGAAAGACAAAATGTGTATGCTGAGTGTTAACTATTTTTTCTCTTTTCTGTACTTTTTTGTTTGTGCATGCTACATCTTGGATCACTTCGCCTATGCTGAAGTATTGTAATGAATGCATTTTCTATAAACACCAAGAGTTTTCATCTTGTCCTGCCTATGCTGAAGTATTGTAATGAATGCATTGTTCTATAAACACCAAGAGTTTTCATCTTGTCCTGCATTTCTTGATACAGGTCAACTCAAGCCCTTATAAAGATGGGTGGATAATTAAAGTTGAACTTAGTGACAGCGGTGAACTAAACAACTTGATGGATTCAGAAAAGTATTCCAAATTCTGCGAGGAAGAAGATTCACATTAAGATCTGTCGGCACACTCCTTGGTGTACACATGTTTTTAAATGGGAAAGCTAAGAATGGCTTGTTCTTTTTTTACATGTGTCTGTCTTAACTTTTTTATTTTTATTTTTATTTTTCATGAGCATCGGATTCAGTGGGATTATTTTTCACTCTTTGCAATGAAAATATGAAATTGATAATGTGGTAAATTGATTATTTGTTTTCTTTATTAACGTATGCCAATTTTGTTTGATGACTATAGGTATCAAGAACTGAAGATGGAATAGAGATTTCAAACTTTCATATTACACACGATAGACACCATTTTGCATTTCAAAAAGCATTTATTGGAAAAAAAATATACCTATATTAAAAGAATATAAGACTAAATCTGAAACAAAAAAATATAGATTTACTTATGACGCGAAGTAGAGAAATATTCCTGTTGAACGAAAGAGCATGTTAAAGGTGTTTGCTCCAGCTTATTTGGAATTTTGTCCAATTGAGGGGTTCAGCACAAGAAAATGTTGAAGATATTTCTTCATCAGTTGCGTATTACAATTTAATAATACGTTGATGTGTCTTTATGTTGTTTGTTTCCAAGATTTTGGAACACTTCAAGGTAAATTAGTTTTGAGACAATAATAGTACATTAAAACAAATCAGATTAACAATGTTATCTTACACCGTTAATGGTCAATGGTTTATAAAGAACGGTGAACCACAAGAAGGAAATGAAGTGGAAGATGCTGCAGAACAGGAGGCTCCAGTTGAAACTAACATTGTTGAATTTGTTTCACCATTGGACAAGGAAAAAACCATCGAAGAATGATGATATTGCTACTCTGTTCAAACACTAACATTGATACTCAAATTGAAGACCTCCAGAACAAATCACTGACATGCAGTTCTTCCTCTTTCATGTTGGTTGTTATTATCCTGCGGTTTCTTTGCGGTGGGAAAGGCAGTGTCAAGGGCTTGATCATTGGGCTCATATTGAACAAACGCCTTTAGGTTTTGGTTGGGCCTCTATTGGGTTTGGATTTTTTTATGTGGACAATTTTCTCTCTTTTGCTATCAGTTTTGCTGCAACACCAACTATTATAACTAATTATCCAACCTTACATGTGATTTTTATATTATATATATAGTCTGCTTATGAATACATCGGTTGAAGGAATTTTTTTTTTATCAATTAAAACAATCTTTTTCTTACATGAATATTTTTTATTATATATAATAAATTATACTCTTTTTATTATATATAATAAACTTATAGTGTAATATTATAAAAATTTCGTACTTTTTTTAAGTTTATTTAAAGACTTTTACGTTATATTTTTAACTCATTAGCATTTTTGTTGATCATAGAAAACACATAAAACTCAACTCCATAAACAAATAAAACCCTAATCTCCAAACCTTTCCACCGCTACCACCTTGCATGATTAGGTTCATCATTTTCCTACCAAGCTGAGGAAGCATGTGCATTACAATAAAACTAATCACTAAACCAAAATATAATAGATTTTCTAAAATATATATAACTGAAAATAAAAAATAAAATAAATTACAGTCAAAATGATAATTTGTCCTATTTTCTCACAACCATAACAAAATACATCATATTTCAGTCTCTAAAATGTTTGGGCCTCCATTATTGCAAACTGTAGTTATATTCTTGCAATTTTGACTTATTAATATGAACCACATGTGTCTACCTCAATTCACATGTTAGTTCAGAGTTTGAGTGATGTGACCAAAGAATGGCTTGTATTTTCTCATCTATAGGTACAAGTTCACATGAATTTAAAAACAAGTTTTTAAATGTAAAAATTATAGTCAAAATTATAATTATTTATTATAATTTTTATAAAAAAAATATGTTGTTAAATGTTTAACGTTTTAACAATAATTCTTTTATAATCATTTAATATATCACATGGCAATTATAAAATAATTGTTATGTTCGAATAGTTATAATTAAAATTATCATGTGTTTTATTATATTTCTCAACTATCTTTCTTTTAAAAAATATCATTCTTCATCGTAAATTTTGTCAACGTGATAAATATATAATGAAAGACAAATTAGAGAATATTTAATTAGAGATATATTATACATAAAAGAACAGTATAATTTTTTAGATTTATTAAAAAAAACAAAATCTCTCTCTAAAATATATTAAAAAAATAACTTTTAAATTTATTGTGACAAAACAAAATTTATCATGACAAAACAAAATTTATAATAAAAGACATATAAAGATGATTTATACTTATAATCATATTAATCATTAGACTCATCAAAATACTATGTTATTGAGCGGTCAAACAAGAAATATGGATGTTATCATTTTTTCTTTTAATTCTAATCTTCAATCACCCACATACACTCTTGAAGACAGATTTGAGGTTATACATCTTCATTTATGCATTTAAGAAAGTTAAATTATATATATTCTCTTCAACTTACAGATACAAAGATACGTACATCAGTGTACTCAGTGATGGTAAATGTTTTTGACAAACTTTTGGACAAACATTTCTAAAACTAACAAATTTTATCCAAACTTAACAGCAGTGAACTTCACTAATTAAGGTGTGCCTTTGTTTCTGGATCTGTAGAATGATGGTCGCAGTGGTCGTGGTGCTGTCTTGAAAGAAGAATTATACACCCATTGAGGCCAACCATAACCATTACTAGGGTAGCTACCACCATAAGGAGGCATAGGAGTAGTCCAGCCATTGAAAGTGTTCTCACCCCATACATGTTGAGGTCTACTCTCATAATAGGGTCCAGGGTTGAGAAAAGGGATGAGAGGTTTATCTTTCTTCATGGCAAGCACTGGAGGGATGAAAATGGTGAGTGCAATAAGGAACAGAAGTAGAATGGCTGATGAGTGCCACATTTTGTTATTCATCAACCAGTATCAACAACTCGCTTTTTATAAGTAATATTCTCCTCACAATTATCAACATATATATATATATACATCAATGCTTAGCGTGTTTGAACTGGCCAAAGGTTTGTAATGAGAGGACTTTTATATGTCCATGAATCTAAAAAAAACAAAATCATGTTTCATAAGTCATTATTATAAGTCTTATAACATTTTGCTTTTTTAAATGTTGGCCTTGGTCAGAAGACTTACGTGATAATTATGGGATCAAATTTTGAGCTTGAAAAAAAAACAAAAAAAAAAAAAACACCATGATGTCATACATGGCACTAATCAAAATGATTGGAATGGATTCTAAGTTTGATACTTTCAAACTTAATTTTTTATACACGTTTGGACCCCACATCAAAATTTCTCCCCCAGAAAAAAAAAAAAAAAAAACACTGTTGCTAGCTAATTGCATTTCTTTCTTAGAATTTTGATTCTGACGTGAAACCATGTCTATCTAATTATCCCGATTCATAAGTTAATACAGAGTGAAAGTGATATGAACAAAGAACAACGAAGCAATTTGGAATTAGGGAATCTAGGTCACGATTTTGCCAAAATCAGTTATAAATAAAATGAGAAATGATTAAGTCTCCATTCACAAACTTAGTTAAATTTTGACCTTCAGAATCTGATTACGAACAACTATATGATTGAGTGAGATGAATTATACCTATTTTAAAAAATTAGAGATATATCATTAAAAAAATACTTTATTACTTAAGTTAATATATATATATATATATATATATATATATTATTAAAATAATAAAAAATATAAAACAATAAAAATTATATAATTTATAAATTTTTTACAACAAATATTTTAAATAATAAAAAAACATATTTAATAATAATAATAATAATTTATCTTTATTGCATAATTAACCGTTAAATAATACATTACTTTACAATGTTTTTCATATATGTATTTATGGATATGAGATACATGAAATATAATAGAGTTTCGGTCTTGTATTTGTAATTTTATTTATGTATTTTATGAATATATAAAGTAAAAGTATAATAAAATATTAAATATTAATTATATTTTAATTATAAATATTTAAGTAGAAAATAATAATAATAATATAATATTTTTTATTTTCAAAGATAATAAAAATTATCTTAATATTTAATTTAAATAAAAAATAATAAAATAGCATTTTCAAGATGATTAATTACATTTTAAAAAAATTAAAAAATAGTTTAAGCAACCCTTTAATTTCTTTTATCTCGGTTTCAATTATCTTAATTTTAAAAAAGAAATTCTAAAATAACCTAATGGTGCATTCACATAATTTAACTAATGTAGCAAGATACTTTTTTTTTTAGCAAAATGAAATTCATCAAAGAAAATGGATGTAAAGTTTGGCATAAGAAAATGAAAAAATATAACTAATCAACAACTCGACTTAAATAAAGATTTATGATATTCTCTTCTGATGAAAAGAAGACGAATAATAGATCTAAGTCTTCTAAAGATATTATAAGAACTAAAGATTGGAGTGTACTTTATAAGATTTTCTATCTTAGAAAAAAATATTTTTGAGATATTTTTAGGAAGAAAAAGAATGAAGTTTAACCGAATGGGACCGGATTCTGATGATGGTATATTTAAATGCGTGTGTTGATTCCTAAAAGTAATAATATATTTCTACTTCTAACAAATACTTATATGCATTAAAAAAAAAAATCAATATCAATGCTGTGTGGTGATCCTTGATTAGCTCAATCTTTTTCTAACACATGGTTTGAATAATTTATCCTTTGAAACTCATATGTTCAACTAAATTATGAATGCCAATGAGTGTGTTCATGCTTGATTAGCTCAACCTAAATTAGCCCTAACAATGGTTTGTTGAATGGATTCTTTCAAATTGAAGACAAAGAAACAAAAAGATCATATTAATGGCTGTTCCATATTTGTCTTTGTTCACTCCCTAATTTCTCTAATTTGGAACCTACTTGTTAGCTAGCTGTATTATTTCGAATCGTGGAAACCACAAATCTATCCCAATTCACAAGTTTATGTGAATAACATTGACGCGATTTCAAAGTCTTGTCAACGAAAATAAGAACATTGATTCCAACCTTATTTCAGTAATGCTTATTTTATATTTAATTTTTACAATTATTGGCAAAAGAAGATTAATTATGTGATTGATCTAACATTTTAGAACTTTTTTGGTAAGAATCGGATAAGAAGTCAACATAAATCACAGCTTAGCCAAATTCTTTTCTCGTTCAACTTATCTTGAACCAGAAAGCACAAATATTGAAGTAGCAAGTCTCCTCCAGCAAGAGCTATATTTAGCCAAGCCAACCATGAAAGTAGAAAATTTTGAAAAGAAATGTGAGCATGTCTCGTTCGATAAGATCAAAATCTTGTTCAAGGAGCTACTTATATATTGTTTTTCTATCGGTTCAAAATCTGAAGTGAATCTTTGAATTACAAAGGATATCTCAACATAATAGAAAGTTAGAACACTCTTTCATTAAAGAACTTTGGAGGGGTTTTATCTCTATTACTTCTTCCTCTTTTGTTTTATTTCCATAATATTTAAAATCATGAGTAGATAAATTCTCTTTTGTTTATAATTACCAAAATTTTTTGTATATTTTGATTCTTTAATATCAAGAGAGTGAGGTAATCATATCTAATCCTATCAATATTCATATTATTATTTTTATCTAATTTTTTTAGTTTAGAAACATAAAATATTATGTTTATTTAGTTTTAATATTGTTCTAAAAACTCAAATTATATTTCTTTCAATTTAAATCTAATAACGTAAAATTAGTATAATTCTTAGTATCATTTAAATTTATGTGGATTTGATCCTTTTACTCATTCTAACACTACATCCGACAAACAATATATATATATATATATATATATATATATATATATATATATATATATATATATAATCAATTTAAATAATTGTTTTATTAAAAAAATTTACTAAAAAATAACAGCTTATTAACAGATTTTATTAATATTAGGGTAAATTTATTTAAAAAGACAAACAAATCTGCTTCAATTTTTTAATGTATATTAAATTTTTTATTTACATGCATGCAACAAATCAAAGTCTTCAAATATCAACTTCCACATTTTGGCATTGTCCATTTTTCTATTGATGTATCGATCGCACCAATTAAATTAACGTCTATGACCAGCTAATCATGTAATCAATGATGAATCAATACTTGTATTGATTTGTTTCATCTATTCACAAGATCATTCACCTAAACTAAACTGAGGATGCCTATATATAGCATACTGCATTGTTCTATTATCAACCCTCATCTTTATATTTCTCATACCCTCTTCAACAGATATGCGTGGCTTGGCTTTTGTTGTTGTTTTTCTTTTGACTGCAGCATTTGCAGTGTTATCTTCCTTTGGCCATTCGTTGCATGGCTGCATTGAAGAAGAGAGGCAAGCTCTTCTAAGTATCAAAGGAAGCTTCAAAGGACCATCATCAAGACTTTCCTCTTGGAAAGGAAGTCATTGTTGCCAATGGAAAGGTGTAGCTTGCAGCAACATTACAGGTCATGTTGTCAAACTTGACCTCAGAAATCCTTGCTTTCCACCAAGGGGCCAACCATTACAATCAAATTGCTCCTTTCTTGAAAATGCTCTTGAAGCTCAATCTGTTCATCCTTCTATATCGCAGCTCAAGTATCTTAATTATTTAGACTTGAGTGGAAACAATTTTAATACAAGCTCAATCCCAATGTTCATCCAATCTATGGAGCAGCTGCAATTTCTTTCTCTATCTAACTGTCATTTAAGTGGGAGCATCCCACACAGTTCTGGGAACCTCACAAAATTGCGCCTTCTGGATTTGAGCTTCAATTCTCTTTTATATGTTGATGACTTCTACTGGATTTCTCAGCTCTCATCCCTCCAATACCTTGACATGAGTGATGTGTATCTTGGTAAGGCACACAACTTGTTGCAGGCACTCAACATGCTTCCTTCGTTGTTAGAAATAGAATTTATCAATTGCGGACTTAATATGTGGCACTCGCATCAACATGTTAGAGCCAGAAACCTTTCAAGAGTGGAAGTCCTCAATCTAGCACAAAATGGACTTCAGACTCCGTTTCTGAATGCTTTTCAAAATATGACTTCCATTGCAGTGATTTACCTTTCACAAAACAAGTTTGATTCTGTTCCATCGTGGTTAGGTGAGTTAAAGGGTCTTCAATACTTCGATATTTCACTTAATAATGTCAATCATATTGAGGGATCTCTTGCATCTATTCTGGGAAACTGTTGCCATCTTCGAACACTGGATATGTCAAGAAATAACATTCCAGGAGATGCACTTGGAGGCTATATACAATCCGGATGCATCAGGTACGATTTAATACAACTGGATTTGAGTCACAACGAACTTAATGATCCTTTGCCTGCATGGTTGGGGCAACTCGAAAATCTAAGTTACTTGTTTTTGTATAACAGTAATTTGGTTGGCACTCTTTCTTGTGATATAATATCAAAACTAGTTAATCTGAAGAAGCTGGTGCTTTTCAATAATAACTTCAACGGGTCTCTACCTGACTGCATTGGGCAACTTGTCAATTTAACCACCTTACTTCTTTCTTCTAATCATTTTCATGGGGTCATTCCTAGGAGTCTTGAGCAACTTGTAAGTCTGGAATATTTAGATCTTTCAAGGAACTCTTTAAACGGTACAATTCCTCAAAATATTGGTCAACTGATAAAGTTGGACACCCTTTATCTTGACAACAATAATTTACATGGAAACATTCCTTACAGTCTAGGTCAACTTCTACTCCTGCACAACATAGACATTGCCCTGAATCATTTGGAGAGTTCGGTGTCTGACATAAGATGGCCTAGGCAGCTTGTCTACTTGAACCTTACCAGTAATCATATCACTGGGTCAATTCCCCAAGATATTGCCGATAAGTTGCCCAATGTTACTCACTTTCTTTTTGGAAACAACCTTTTAAATGGTTCCATTCCAAACTCATTGTGCAAAATAGACTCCTTGTACAATCTTGACCTTTCAGGCAATATGTTATCAGGTGAAATTCCTAATTGTTGGAGTGTCACTCAAGGACTCAATGAGATAAATTTTGCTTCCAACAATTTTTCAGGTGTTATTCCAAGTTCTCTTGGAAACCTAAACGGGTTGGGATGGTTACATTTGAGCAATAACAGTCTTCATGGGACGTTTCCATTATCATTGAGAAATTTAAAAAATCTTCTAATTGTGGATCTAGGTGAGAACCACCTGTCAGGGCTTATACCATCATGGATGGGGAACATTTTCTCCTTAATTCAGATTCTAAGGCTTCGGCAAAACAAGTTGAACGGAACAATTCCTTTAGAATTGTGCCAACTTTCTGCACTACAAATATTGGACCTCTCAAACAACAACCTGGTGGGAACAATCCCTCATTGCGTTGGAAATCTCACAGGAATGATTTCAGGAAAGAAATCTTCTATCAGCCAACCTAGTGAAGGGCCTAGATATAATGAATGGTTTGAACAAGATGTGAGACAAGTCATAAAAGGACGCGAACTTGACTATTCCAGAAATCTAAAACTGCTAGCCAACATGGACTTGTCAAATAATAATTTGAGTGGATCTATTCCTGAAGAAATAACATTGCTTTCTGCATTGCAAGGCTTAAACCTTTCATACAATCATCTGTCAGGACAAATTCCTAAAAGGATAGGGGACATGAAATCACTAGAATCTCTTGACCTCTCTCATGACCAACTTTCAGGCGTGATTTCAGACAGCATATCTAGTCTAACTTCATTGAGCCACTTAAATTTGTCCTACAACAACCTGTCAGGACCAATTCCCAGCGGATCTCAATTGTCAACCCTTGATGATCCTTTTATTTATGCTGGCAACCCATTTCTCTGTGGATCACCACTGCAAAATGAGTGTCCTGTTGATGAGTCCGAACATGAAGATGAAGATGGCAAAAAGGATAAAGTAGAGAAATTGTTGTTTTACTTTATCGTAGCAGTTGGCTATGCTATTGGTTTCTGGTCAGTGATTGGAAGCTTGTTGATAAGTAGAAGTTGGAGGCGTGCTTACTTTCAACGCATTGATGAGTCAATGCAGAGGATAAATGCATCACTGGCAGCACATTTAGCCAATGTCAAAGAAAGATTTACAGGAAACCTGAAGCTTAGTGACACATTGTTGTGGTAATCTTTATGCCTTCTGTCTCTGTTTCATACCCTTATAGGATTTCATGTTTATTTTGCTTGGTAAGTACTTGTTGTTTGTTAATGATACTCAGAATTTCTTTGTCATGTCAATAAGGCCATTTTATTTTAGTTTATTTAATAATTACCACACTGTTGCCAGCCTTAGATTTTTCCTATTCATCAATACATAGTATGAGTCTTGCTTTATTATTTTGGATTAAGTCCCACATTGAAATTGTGAAATTTGTTATGTTATTTTATTCTATTGCAGATAGAAGGGCCACGATGTTGATTTTCTTTTCTTCTTTCATACCTTCATTTTTCTATTAATTGAAATTATTTTTCATCAATATCTATTAATTTTATTTTATTTTACTAATTATTCTTTACTCAACATTAATTAGAATTTTCTTGCTCATTATTGATAATAGTATTTCTCTATGGATATAAGCCAGCTTTTTTTTTTTAAATAATGTTTGCGAAATTATTTTTTTATTGATTTATGTTAAAGCTTTTAAGTTAATATATTTTTTTGTTCACATTATTGAAAGATTTTTGTTTTTTAATATATGTCAAAGTTATTTTTCATTTAAAAAAATTGTTTTAAAATATTTGATTGAAAAATAGTTTTGATCTACATTAACAGAAAAATATCATTTACGAACATTTTAAAATTATTAAATATTATTATATTTTTTATATTTAATGTTAATTAAAATAATCTACAAAAATAAATTTCAATAATTTTAATTTGTATAATTTAAATAAATCACTTAAAAATTAAATAAATTAAATACAATTCAAATATAATATATTTCAATTTTCTTAAAATATTGAAATATTATATCTGAGTACACCGTTAGATTAAGAAATTTGTGTTTAATACATTCTTTAATTTTAACAACTACACGTATTTCGAAATAAATATAATTGAAAAATAAAATTAATTAAAAGGTAATTAATGTAATTTTAAATTAAGAGTGGTGATATTTTGACAACCAAAAATCATACAACCCTTATAAATAACTCACTTTTATTAATATAATAATCTATAGACTGATTTAATAAAAATAAAAATAAAGTAAAACTATTATTATAATATTAAAACAGAGTTGTTTACAGGAGTTGTATGGATTTGGGTTGTCAAAGTATCATTTTCCTTAAATTAAAAACAAAATTTTCTTAAAAAAAACAGAAGGAGTATTTAAGAAGACTTGATTTTAGTGAGAGTTAGGATTTGGTAAAATTGATCATAAGAAATTTGATTTATGTAAGATATAAAATATTATTTATAGATTAGTTAAATAAGTTGGAAAATTATATAAAATGGTAAAGAAAATAATATTAAAAATTATAGAATATAAAAAAAAACTAATACGACGTATATCTATTTTATTGATAAAAAGCAAATTATTAGGAATAAATTGTTTTTTTTTTGTGTGCCATGGTTATTTATTTATTTCATCTTTTAATTTTATTCGTGAAATTATGTGTTTAGATTTTAAAATTAGTCTTTTAAGTCATCCTTAAAACTTAATTGTTTATTTCTGTATTTTCAAAATTTTAAAAATATAATAAATCAAACTTTTAAAGTCATTATCAAAACTTCTTTTAGAAAAAAAAAACAATTTTGTTAATTAAAAAATCCTCTTTTAATTTTATTTCATTCGTATCTCATTCCTATCTAATTAATATTTTCACAGAAAATTATAAACTTAAAAAAATAACTACAAACAGAAATAATGATACTGTTTCGATTCGATCTTTTATATATAAAAAAACCTAAAATAAATATAAAAATTAAATTTGATTTAATTTTAATTTTATATAAATTTAAATATAAATTAAAATTAGTATTTTACAGTTTAATTTGAATTGATTTTTAATAATTTTTATAAAATTTGTAAATATTTATTTATGGCATTTTAAAATAAAAAGTGTTAAACAAAGAGATATTATATGATTTATTTTATCAATTATCATATTTACAATTCATAAATAAATTACACAATCTCATATTTTAATAGGCATAAATATATTATAAGTATGATATACTTAAAACGTAAAATAAACTTCAAGAAATACACTTATATACTTGTTAGCTAATTTTAACTATATTATATTATATTTATTAACCATAAGATTTTTTAATTGATTTTTAATTGAAAATCTGACTAAAGTACTTAATAAAGGAAAACAAGTCAAAAAAATGTGTCACTCATCAACAGGATTCGTGTAAATCTTTCCATAAAACTTGCTAAAATTATTGTCAATAATAATCAATGTATTGAAAGTAAACATGCCAAGCTTCCAATGAGAGTCCAAAATCCAATAGAATAGCAAGTGCAATGACAAAGTAAAACCACAATTTCTCTACTTCATTTTCTTTATCGTCATTTTTTTCGTCTTCGTTGCCATGTTGAAAATCATCAGCAAAACACTCATTCGGTAGTGGAGGCCCACAGAGAAATGAGATTTCAGCTGTGGTAGATCTCACCGAGAGGAATGGTTTTTGAATTTCATTTAATATATTTATTTATATTTTTATAATTTTATCTTTTAAATTTTGTAGTTTTATATTTGTATAATTTATTATTTTTTCCGGTCAAACTTAATTATTATTTAATATATTTAAATATATATATATACAATTTTAATTTTAATTTTTTTATTTTCCTTTTATATTTATTTATTATTTATTAATAATATATTAATTCACCTTCTCAGTATTAATAGTCAAGTACTAATTATCAACGTAAATAAACGAATCATCAAGGGTTAATCATTGAGTTCCTTTGCAAATTTGTAACTTACTGACTCAATCTTATAACATCATCTATATGGATTAAGGGTAAGACGATATAAGACAAAGAAACACGATTAATTTTTAAAAATAATAATTTATATATTAAAATAAAATAAAAATTATAATTTAAAATATTATATTGTTGAAATGTATAAATATATTATAATTAAATAATAAATATTAAAAAACTAATATTAAAATATTAATTATTGTTAAGTATTTTAATATTTAATTATAGAAAATTTTTCCATTTATCTAATACAATATATTAATTAATGATTACAGACTTAAAAAATATTTATATAATTAAGATTATATTTAAACTAATATATATAAAAAATTATACATAAAAAAAGTTAACCTATTATCTAGCTAAGTAGATCAAGTCAACCTGTCACGGTAATGATAATACATATCTTGTATCTCGATTTGATTTGATATTTTTAAAGGATATATTAAAACTTTTTAATTTAAATAATAAAATATCAAAATTCCTTCTACAAAACCAGTTACTTTATTATAAAAATAAATTTTTGATTTAAACTTCATATGATTTAAGTCTCTATAATATAAAATATTAAGTTTAAGATATAAAAATCACTTTTTTTTTCTTTTAACAATGTGAAAGAGTAAATATAACACTTATTTATTATAATATAATAATGATAAAAGGAAAACATAAAAATATTTATATACAATTTTGATTATCATTGTTAACATATAAAACAACATATTATAAAGAATATGATAAGTTAGTTTGTTCTTAATCTTTATTTTTAATTCCATGTCCAATTCATTAAACAATGTATTGTTATGAGGATTGTTTTTAGTAGTTGTAAGTTAACTCAGGTATATTAAACATGTTTTTCTCATAACAACAAATAAGAAAATGAAAAATACAAACCTTATTTTTTATTGATTAAATTAATAGTACAATATATATATATATATATATATATATATTTATTTTAGTCATGATTTTTTATATACTCTCTGATATAAAATATTATTTGATATAAATAAATACTTAAAATTTTGGAATAAGTTTAATTTAAAATATTTTTATATTAATTAATATAATCTGTTTTTTATAGTTAAATTAATTTTAAAATTATATGATAGATTTAGTACTAATAAATATTTTTGTTGAAATTCAACGCAATAAATTATTATTATAAACTTAATATACAGGTATAAATGAAGATATTTAGCTGGTTATTATTTTAATATTTTTTGGGCGTGAAATATCTATATGCAGCGCTTCCCGATTTTTCCTCTTTATTTATTTTAAGACTTTGAATTCATTTAAACTAACAGAAACGACAAATCGCACAATCAAGGGTTTCGTTTCTTACATCGCATCTATTCATTCCTTCTGCTTGCACTTCAAAGCGCCAAAATCCCAATGAATCAATAATCTTCTCCGTTTCAAATTTCCGAAACCTCGCAGTAGCTGGTTCCCTCTCTTTCTCTTTAGCGCACCTTAGTGTTTATCTTTGGATTTTATTTTTATTTTCCTTCGGTTGAATGCTAGCAAACCCAATGAACTTAAGCGATTTCCCGTGTTGCATTTCTGGATTGTTTTTTTTTTTATTATTATTTTGCTACTGAAAAGTTAACAGTTCCTCTTATTTATATGTATTTTGTTTTTGCTCGCTGTTAAAATAATGAACGCTGAAACTTGATACCCTCGATTTAAGTAGGACTAGCCCCTCGTTGAAGACGATGACGTTAATTTATTCACGAGTTTGTTTAATGGGCACTATCAATGCTAACTAGACCCCAATTTCTCACTGCTTCTGAAATCTAGCACAAATCTTTTGCTTTGTCTTGATTGTTCGATTTACTGAGGTTGTTTTGCATTCTAATCTGACTGTGTTAGTGCAATTATAGGCTTGGCATGATGGATTCAAACTTACCGGTGCTGCCTCATGACAATTCTGATACAAAAAACGCATTTCGCAAGCCTTCTGGTGATGCAGCTAATAGGAATTATCGGCGTCGGTCACCTATTGATGGATCACCCTCACCTGACGGTTGGGATCTTTTAAGCTCTTGGTCTTATTTCTTTTAGAAGTTACAATGGTATTGTGATGAGGCTATTTGCAACCAATATTGGTAATTTGGTAGTTGAAACTTTTTAATATGTGATGTTCATGCATGGTATGGAAATTAGATAGGTGGTACTTTTAATATCTTTATCACTTACCTAATGATCTAATTAAAGGGTATATAGACTCAAGGTTGATTCACTGTGTTTTCTGAGGTGACGTTGCAGCAGTTTCCTGTGCATGAAAATTGACACTGTTGTACGTTTATGATTAGCATAAGATGAGGATGTGATTGCATTGAAAGTTTTTAAACACTTTCACTATTTACTTAATAGCTTACTTAACCTATTTCAAACATTTACATATTCTTCCATATTTTAAATGTTGTAGGATATGAACAATAGGGTAATCTGGTACAAAGTAGTTAATACTTTATCTGCTATCAAGGCTTAGAGATTTGAGTGCGACACCACAATAGCAGTTGGTTGTGTCTCAAATGGCAATGCCTCATTTCAGGCTAGAAGCCGTTGTTACTGGCCCGGATCCATTCTCCGTCTGGCTGTGACAGAGCTTCTTTTTTTATATTTTAGCTCTTGGATGTAGAATTCATCCAGTTTACCTGAACCTGAAGTCTTGTTACCAGCCTTTATCCTTTTGTTTTTTGTTTTGGGTCCAATTTGTTATTGTCTTTCTATCTTTCTTTCATTATATTTTGGGGGTGAGGTGGTTGTGGTGGTATTGATGATGTGATAGAATAGAACTAGTTAATGAAAGAAAGAATGATATAATACTGCAGAACTTCAACTATTTGCACCTACGTACCTTCCCAAAGACCTAAGAAGTACTCAATGGCTGTATGTTCTCTCCTTGCCTTTCCCTTTTCTTCTAACTGTTTCTCTGTCTAACTCTCCTTGCCACTTAGATAATGTTATTACCATTCCTGCTTTTCCCCCTTGTGTTTCTCCTTGCTGTTTACCATAAGAATAGTCCCCAATTGAAAGATTCATCTTGTTCTCAAGGTGAATGTTGGGTAAAAGAGTGAGGGGAAAACTGCTTAAGCCCTTTCCTAAGCTGTTTTCGTTGAAAAAAATCCTATGTCTTGTTGAAAGAGTGTCGTGAATTTAGGAAGTAATTTTTCCTTAAGGGAGCAATTGGTAGAAGGAAAATATTTCACACCTAGGAATTATACTTTATTCGAAACATGAATCCGGGAACTATGATTCCTTAGAATGACTAAATTTTGTTTGGTTGGTGAAAAGTATTCCTGGGAATATTTATCAAAATCATTATTTTGTTACTGCATTAAATGATTTAATGAAAGTAATATGGTATATTTTTTAGTAAAGTTCCATTTTTACTCGTGAAAGTTAGGTTTCCACCTCCTTCATGGGAATGTTTTTGTATGAAACTTGGCTAAAAACCCTTCCTGAAATTTTGTTTCTTGGGAATGTTATCTTTTAAAAAGTAAACCAAATCTGGAAACCCTACTTTCCCAACTTTAGGTTATCGAGAAACTAAATTTCCCTTCTACCAAACACCCCCTAAGAGAAAGAAGATGAAGAATCACCACATGATTTTTATGATAAAAACACTTGCCAGCTAAATTTATATGCTTGGGCTCTAATTTTCTGTTTGGGCTCATAGGAGGAAGGATTTATTTGCTTGCCAGCTAAATTTATTAAAAAAAATTGCAAAAAACAAAACCGATAGGCTCATGACAAATGTTTATAGGAAGGACAGGTGATGGACAGTTGAGTTATAGAAGATTGGATATTCTAGCAGAATCATGACAGGTGGCCGAGTCAGTTGGTGAATGAGGGGATTTAGAAATCAAAGGGCAGTGAGGGAGAGTAACATAATACAGACATGAGGGAGGATTTGGGAAGGTGAGCTGCTTTAGTCCTGCATCTGTCATATTTTCTTTTAGTTGTCCTCATTTTCAGAGGACTTTGTCAGCTGTAAGAGGCTCCACTTCCTTAGATTTCTGAAAATAATATTCACTCATTTCCATTTCTAACAAAGCCCTTTAAATTTTCTATTTTTCAGAAATAAGTTGTTTGACTGACCTGTTCTGTGTGCGCAACCTGCTGTGCGAGAATTCCACAATGTGAATCTGCATCGCAATTCCTCCAATACAGAAGCGATTCAGCAAATGATCTAAGCTCAAAAGCCAGTCTTATTGTGATATGTTTCAAACTATGAAGATTTTGTATCAGATCAAGATGCAAGTCATGAATTTTTCAATTCTAAACGCTGTGGTCCCTATAGTGGCTTTTAAGTGTCTTTTATCTTCCTAGTCACCTAAATGGTTTTACTATTCATATCAGTTGCTTGTTTTAGTGCGAATGTTGGGACACATCCAACATACATATATGCTAATAAAATCATGTCATGTACCTTCAATTACATAGAAACTGTGAATGGTTGCTTTGGTGAAACATGCATCACACAGGGAGACACAAAAGCAAACATGCTGTTACTAGTTTATGGCATTGCTTATTTCTTTTGAACAGTTAACTTTTGTGTATGCACATATATCAGTGGCCCTCTGCAGCTGTCTTCCATTAACTTCTGGAAGCATCTCTCTGAAATTGTTTTTCATAATATATGGCACTGCAATACTTTGTTACAAAATTCAATGCTGAGCTGCATATGGTCTATAAGACTTCAATAAATAAATTTATGTTCTTTTATGCAGCTAATCCTAGGCATGGGCATAGCTCAAGTCCAAATCCAGTGAGAGAAAATTCTGCAAGAGTCTCTCACCATTACTCAAGGAAGTATGATGACCGGGAACAAGACCAACAGTATGGAAGAAATCACTATGGAAGAAGCAGTGACTCTCTTAGAAATTCTGATAGACAGTCATCCAAGAGTTCCCATGGTCACTCTCGGCATGACAAGTATGGAAATGAAGATAGATATCGTGAGCGGCTATTCTCTCGATCTGGACATGAGCCAAGGGATGATCATACAAGAGAAGAGACCGATAGCAGATCAAAAAACTACCATCGTAGAGTGGATAAGTATTCACATGACAAATATGACAGGTCTGATCATCGAAGCAAAGAAAAACGTAGAGAAACATATTCGGAGCATAAAAAGTATAAAGATATTGATTCTTCATATGAAAAATCTTCATCTAGCAAGAGGCATGCACCGAATGATGAGGTGGAGAAGGAGGGACTTTCATTGGATTGGGATGGTCGAAATGAAAGAAGAGATTCACGCCGAAGTTCAGGGGACTACAGAAGTGACCAAACAGTCTGCCATTCAGAGTCAAGGAACCAAAGAGATGACTCAAGTCCACAAAGAGACAGTGGTAAATTTAGTCTGAAAGAAGCTTATAAGAGTGAACAGAAAGAGTCAAATGATCAAAATATTCCATGGGAAGAAAAAAGAAAACATGATGATTCCGAGATTGGGAAGGGAAAAGACTGGAAAACTAGAAAATCAGGCGAGCAGTGTGTTATTGAAGATAAAGAATCTTCTGGAAAGAAACTAAAGTTGTTTGATCCTGACAAGGACGACAATAGTAGAAAAGATGGTATTGTCTACATATCTTTTGTACGATGTTTAATATGATTTGTACTATTATATGTGATATTTTGTTGCTTGATTTCAGGTACTGAAGCAGATGAATGTAAGACTTCAAGTTCAAAGTTTTCTCACGAGAGCAAGGCAGATTCATGGGCTGCCAAGACCAGTGGCTTTGATGGTGACAATGATCTAGATGCTGCAAAATTTGCAGCCATGAGAGCTGCTGAATTAGGTTATCCTGAAAATTTCCCTACTTTTGGGTTATGGTCATATCTTTGCTATTCTATGATTGATTGCATTCTGATAGATTGAAAGTTCACTATTTCAATTTTCATATTTGCCGAAGGTGAATTGGTGTGGGTTTGGTAGTATATGCCATGTATGTCTGCTATTAAGTCCTCACATTTATTCTCTATAGAATAATTTTTTTTCTCTCTCCTAATGAATTGTATTTCCAAGTCGTCAACATTAAAAAAAAAAAAAATTTAGCCAAGCATCTAGAGATTGATACGTGAGACTGAAATAGGAACTTGATTGTATATCACGTGCATATTGTATTCATTTGAAATTTTGGTGCATGGCAGTTAATAGGAACTTAGTTGGGGCTGGTTGCTTGACTACTGACCAAAAGAAGAAACTGCTGTGGGGCAGCAAGAAGAGTACACCTACTGAAGAGGTATTTTGCATTTTGTCCTTTTTTGGCTGTGTTCTTTCCTTTGCGTACAAAAGACAGTAATTTTCTTTGGGATTGATACTTAATGAATGATCGTGAAGTTGAAATGAACTACGTTAGTATAATTCACATTTCTTGGTTTCTGTTTCCCTGAAACTAGTGCTTTACAATTTAGATGTTTGAGATCTGAGGTTGAAATTGTACAATAATGATGACCAATTCCACAATACACTTCTCTTAGGACCCTAGCTCATTTAACTCCATGTATTTGAATGAAAGTTTAGTGTGTTTTAGATGTTGCCAATTTGTAGATCTTATCAATTTAGCACACACGAGTAGCTGCTAGCATTTTTTGAGGTTACAAATATTATTATTTTTACAGTAACATGTCTTATTCTGTTGTGCACATGATGATGTCATCCAATCTTCATCAAATTTGTCCACATGCTTTATTGTGAACGTTGAACTATGTAAGCTTATGCTGTGGTGAAGGTAAATTTGGTCTTAAAAAGTGCTACAGCTAGGATTCACAAAAGTCAGCACATTAGTGCAGGCTTGGTTAAGATAGATTGAGGAAATAATTGGCCTTCTTTACTTTGTTTGAAAACTAGTAAAACTGAACAAAAATTAGTTATTTTTCCCAATAAATTGAAACTGAACTAAACATGTTTTTAGTCTGACCTGACTAAGCTGCGGCCTCCAGTTGCATGTGATTCCTTTTGACGCTGTTTTATGTCATATTAATGAGCGCAACTGTTGAGATTTTGTTGGTGCAAGTCGTTCTATAGCATTGACCAGAAAAGTTGTATATCTCTTTATAATTGTACATAAAAATATAAGATTGTACATGTTAGTAAAAAATGCACCTTTGGTTGTGTCTGTATGTAATAAGTAGATGAGTGGTGTAGTGGATGATGTACCTGATCTCTCCACCATCTGGCTGAATTTGTATTGTGCGTGTTCATGTTTTTTGACATGGGTAATAGCATAGCCCCGTGTTTGTTTTTGCTTTTCCTACAATTTGCTACTAACAATGCAATCGTTGCTTTATAAATGCTCTTGCCAAATTTTGTAGTCTGGCCATCGTTGGGATACAGCTATGTTCTCTGATCGTGAGCGGCAAGAAAAATTCAACAAACTCATGGTAAGTATTGATTGAGCCGTTGCTTTATTTTGACCCACAAATTCCATGAAGGGAATGTTACTTGTACTTGAATAACTCACTCCATTGGAGTTTCTTCACTTACTAACTTAGTTTGAGTCTAAGGTTGTACTCGTGCCTATGGCAAATTGTAGGGTATGAAAGGCGAGGCGAAAGTGGAGCAGAATACCAACAACCAAAGCAGTAACGATATTCTCCGTGCTGAGAAGCAGAAGGAACTTCAGATGGATCTAGAGAAACAATACACTGCTGGCCTTCGACGAAGAGATGGCCGTACAGTTGGTTTAGGGCTTTAAACATTCTCACTTTGGAAAATTTACTTCCTTTAACATTTATTTATACCTTAAGTATCGCCCCTTTTGTTTAGACATGTTGGGGATTTTATGAAAATATGATGTAATGCACGTCATCAGTTGGCATCTGGTGGGAGTTCCTGATCTAGACAGGCATGTTATTTCTATGGAATTTCTTATCGTCATTGTATCTAAATTTTTGTTTTTATATAGTCCATGTCAAAACTGGTCGAGGCATTTTGGTTTCTTTTGACGGTCGCAAAATATTCATTTATCTATCATTCATCCTGTCTGCCAAATTCATCTTATTCATTCATTATAATAAATATAAAAAAAAAAAATAGATCCGTTTGTCACCAGCTCTCGTCCGGGTGTTGACACTGGTTTGGTAATGCTTTCGGCGCATTCAGTATTATCTGAAAGTTCTGGTTCTCTAAATTGGACAAGTAAACAACAATATTACTGATACGTTTTAGAAACTGTTTTGATTTACGTACCTGTTATACTAAATATATAAACTATTATCAATCAAAATTTTATAAGCTGACTAAATCGTCAGCTTTCCAATAGTCTAGTTTTGTCTTATATAAGTAGTAGGTTGTATATATTAGGACTTTTATAAGAGAATTGATGAGGATAGATGATCAACACCTAATCAATTGTGGATTATGAAAATGTATTATTTAGGAAATTTTATCGAATAATTACGACAAATAGAAATTGCAAGAACATATTATAAGGTGAAAAGTACGTTAAAAAAAATTGTAGAATTATCAGAGAAACAATTATCTAATATTATTTTAAATAAACTATTTTTAAAATATTTTATCCTATATATACAAAATTCATATACATTAATGTAAAAGGTAATGTTGAGGTTTTTTTTTTCTTTCTATAATATAAAATTGTATAATGTATCATATTTGATTATAATAATTTAAGGGTCAAATATTCTATTTTTTTGATTGGTTATTTGGTAACCTAATGGTCAGCTATTTTTCCTTAATAACTAGATTACACATTATATTGTTTTTAGGAACCTAATTTCATATTTCTACGTCTCAGACCATACAAACAACTTGTTCTCATTAAAAACAAGATTTTCATGGTAGTTACATATGAAATTATGAATCAGATCAGACTGCAACTAGTCACAGGATTGAAAACATAGCCATGCTTTTCTGATCAAAATAGGAAGAAAAGAAAACTTCCCGAAGTAAACAATTTTGAACTTGTTTTAGATGAGAATCAATCCTTAGACCTATTCATGCAAATTTAAGTCAGTCTAGTAATTTTTAAACTGCAAGAGAAACTCGTAGAATTTTTCTATCTATTGCTGCTATCAAAATTCTAAATTAGGATTCATCATCTAGCAAATGGAAGGACTGAAATAGGAAATAAACCAAACCTAATTCCGCAATGCAACATCGAAGACAATTAAGTTTCCTGATTTTCCTAGTACTATTTATCACATACGTATAAACCTGCTGATCTGGGGATTAGAAGAGGATACAACTCGAACGAAGAATAACAACAGTACTTAAATATTGGTCACCCTTTTTCCTCAAGCCTTGCAAAAGATAGTAAAGAAAAAATAACAGTGTGAAGAAACTACATCAGAAGAAGCATAATATAAAAGCCAATGTTTAATAATAGTAATAATAACAACTCAAAAAAGGAAAAGTAGTTTTCATGGTCACATTGTTAACAATAGTAAGGAAGAAGCATGCTGTAGGAACATACTTCTGGATCTTTACCACTAAGTGACAGAAGCATCAACTGATTGCAGAACTCCAATCCAAGACTTCAAGTTGAATGTTTGGCTCTGGCGGTTCTCACTGAAGAGGATCAAAGACAATTTTAATTGAATTGTTTCCATTAGTTAAATGCGTTTGCTGGATTAGATTGACCATTTTCATCATCTTGAAATGAAGAAAAGCATCTATAGGATCCAGAAGTCAAACTTCCATCATCTATGTTTCTAATTGAGAAAAAATGAGCTTACTAGGTCCCTTATTTCATGCTTGAATTAAGGGAGGTTGTTGTACCACGTTGCATGTGATTTTTCTAAAAGTGCAGCACCTGATACCATTAAAAACTAATCAAGAAAAAAGTTTCAATAGATAGTAGATGTTACAGAAAACGTTCTATGAAATTCTTATTCACCTAAAGAGGGTCCTTAGATAGTTTGAACCCAGGAAGGGAAAAAACTCATTGTCATCTTTATTGAGACTAATTAATCCTCACAAGTGTAGTATCTAGCATCAAAATTATAAATATAATAATTATCTTTTCCTAGTATAAGTACAACAGTATTGTTTTCCTAAAAAAAAAAAACATCACAGTTTGTATCGGTAAAACAAATTATAACTACACCTGATAAGAAACATTTTTATCAGAAAACAACTCCACCAGTAGTATCCCTGAAATACTGGCAATCGAAATGAAACACCACAGGTGAATAAAAGCTATAAAATGAGGTGAAGTACTTAATAATTTTAAGTCTGAAATGCAAATTTCTGTCCATATACTTCTCTGTCAACTTAAGATTTAGTTCTTTATTTAAGTAATCAAGGTAGAAAGTACATTTTCTTAGCAACTAGATATATGGATGCTTAATAATCCTGTCGTATAATGTTTTCTTCTCAGAGTCAGAACTCTCTATAAACAGTAACAAACCTGGTTCACACAGTTCTAGAAGTTATAGCAAGTAAAAAAATATAACATTGAAGATGAAATTAGACAAAAGATATTCAGTTTGCAACTGTATATATAAATGAGTTGTGTTTAACCTTAAAAATTGCATTAACAATTTGACGTGTTCACATTCACTGGTATACAAAAAGAAGCGTGTGAGAAAGAGACGTAAGAAAACAAGAAAGAAGAAAAAAATACATTTTTAAAACTGATCATAAAAGAATAAGTAAGCAAAAAACAGGATTTGAGCTTGTTATTAGACAGTGACACTGCGAAGCACAACGGTCTCAACAGTGAGTCCAGGTCCGAAACCAAAGAGCACACCCCAATCAAGGCCTTCACCAGTGGTGCCTAGTCCATTCTCTATTGACTTCTTCCTCATTTGATCCAGGATGAATAGAACACATGCACTTGACATGTTACCGTACTCACTGAGCACGTGTCTGGTAGCTTCCATTTTTTGAGGCTTCAAGCCTAGCTTAGCCTCAACTTGGTCTAGAATAGCAGGTCCACCAGGGTGTGCAATCCAGAAGATAGAGTTGTAATCAGAGATTCCCAAGGGTTGGAAGGCTTCAACCAAGGCCTTCTCAATGTTCTTTGAGATGAGTCCAGGAACATCCTTAAGGAGATGGAATGTGAGTCCAACTTCACGAAGGTGGCCATCAATAGCCCCTTCACTGTCTGGAAGGATTGTTTGGGCAGTCCAGACAAGTTGAAACAAAGGGTTTTCAACAGGCACAGGGTCTGATCCAACAATGACTGCAGCTGCACCATCTCCAAACAAGGCTTGACCCACAAGGCTATCGAGATGGGTGTCACTTGGTCCACGGAATGTGACTGCAGTGATCTCTGAACAAACCACAAGCACCCGAGCACCCTTGTTGTTTTCAGCCAAGTCTTTGGCCAAACGAAGCACGGTGCCACCAGCAAAACATCCTTGTTGGTACATCATGTAACGCTTGACGGAGGATCGTAGTCCTAGTAGTTTTGTGAGCTGATAATCAGCACCAGGCATGTCTACACCACTGGTGGTGCAAAATATGAGATGGGTAATCTTTGACTTAGGTTGACCCCATTCCTTTATTGCCTTTGTTGCTGCCTCCTTTCCCAACTTTGGTACCTCCACAACCACCATGTCTTGCCTTGCATCCAATGAAGGAGCCATATAAGCACACAAACTCGGATTCTCTTTCAGGATCTCTTCATTCAAGTACATGTATCTCTTTTTAATCATTGACTTGTCACCTGAAATATATTCGTAAATTCCTTTTCATCAAATCAGATAAACACGGCTACTAGGAAATATACAAGAATTCTTCAGACACCAATGGTTATGTGAATCTTTCTCTTGTACATGACACTTCAATTCACTTAAATTCTAGAGAAAGTATGTATATAACGAAGTAATGAAGATGAAGAAGAGATATGTAAAGTAGCTTACACATGCGCTTGAACTTTTCTTTGAGGTCTGTCTTGTGCTCACTGTTGGTGATGCGAAAATAATAGTCAGGATAGGTACTCTGATCCACGCAGTTGGGAGGAGTGGCAGTGCCAATAGCCATGACAGTGGCAGGGCCTTCTGCACGTTGTGCCTTACGTATCTCTTCAACACTCACCATCCTAGCTAACTAATGTAGCTGTATATGAAGAACAAAAGTGATGTAACTGAGAGTAGCAAAGCGAAGGAAAGGAAAGGCTTGATGATGTTGGAAAAAGGGTTGGAAGGGTGGATATATATACACATGATTGAGTGGAGAGAAATGGGTAGGTATATGCTTCCTCTCAGTTATGTCATGTCATGGCTGCGCTTTCTTTCAAGCATGTGGTGGTGTACCGCATGGCTACATTGACTCTTGACTCTCTTATTTACCAACCCCATTTTATTTTATTTTTTTTATTGTTTTTAGTCTTCCAATCAATCAATTCTATTTTTATTTTTAAATTTTGACTCTCTTGACTCTTGACTCTCTATATATATATATATATATATATATATATATATATATATATATATATATATATATATATATATATATATATATATATATATATATATATATTTCTGTTTATCTATTTAATTTATTTTTAAATTTTACTATAATATTTTTTTTAAATCATATTTGTTTATAGACTATATTTTAATATCTAAATAATAATAATAATTTATCTATATTTTCATCCTTAATTAGTCATTAAATAATATATTACGAGTTATTTTAGATTTAATAATATATTATAAAGCCATTATTTTTAATTATTATTTTTATTAAAATATATTTTAATTAATTAAACTAAAAATAAAAGGTTTAGAATAAACACGAATATCTGATTCATTCTAATTATTATTTTATTTATATATTTCTAAAATATTTAAAATTTGAAAAATTAAGTGTTAATTATTAAGTATTAAATAATAGTGTAATTTATATTTAAATGATAATTATTTTTAAATTAATTATTCTTATAATAGTTAAGATTTCCATGTCCCAATTATTAAAATGAATATTTAAATTTATATATTATAAACTTATTTGTATTTTTTAATTTATATATTTCATATAGTTACAACATAACTATTAATACTCTTAAAAATTCATAACAAAATACAAAGAAAATTAAAAATATAAGCCATCTGATGTAATGTACCTAATATTTTAATTTAAACATGATTAGTAAAGATTAAAAAAATATTAAATTTTTTTATGATGATATATTTCTTCAAAAATAATACAAATACAAAATAAGATATAAATGGATAAAATATATAATTCAAACAATTTTGTTATTGCATATTTTTTATTTTGTTATCGATAAAATACATAAAAATAGAAGTTTACGAAAATAATTATACAAATTCTTATAATTAGAATGAGTGATTATCAAGAGATACTCCACCACAATATAATTTAATAAACTAAAATGCTATTAATAGCTGAATAAATGGTCATATATGAAATATTAACATAAAAGTGCAATATAATATTATATGAAAATATTTTTAATTTAAGATTTGTTAAACGAGATGATTATGTTAAATAATAAGATTTCTTATCTCTCTTATGTTTTCTAAAATCTTTATTAGAATATGTAGTTATTTGTCTTCCTTAAAAGTCTGGTTGTTGGCTTATGAATTGTCTTGTTACTAATTTTTTTTCCCTCCTACCGTGACGAGAATTTCCAGGTTATATATATATATATATATATATATATATATATATATATATATATATATATATATATATATATATATTATTTGTATACTTATATATTTTATAAATAAAATAAAAATATCATAAAATATCGAATATTAATAATATCTCAATCATAATTATTTATATTAAAATAATAATTTAATATATATTTTTACTTAATATCTAATTTAAATAAAATATAATAAAATAATATTATCTCTTAAATATAGTAGTTATTTAATTCAACTTTACAAAACCAATTCAATACGATAAAGATTGTATTCATGTATATATTACAATGTTATCGTATATTTAGTTGATATGAGATTTCTCAACACACCTCCTCACTTCAAAGATGAATTTTTTTATCACACGTTCCTACGTCAAAGAAGAGTGGTTCAATATTGGTCCAATATAACGGGTGGTTAAGTCGACCACTATTAACGATTATTGTCTTGATAATGGGTGATTAAGTCTATTATTATTAACATTTATTGTCCTAACAATTTTGAAGTTGACTTTGCTATCATCTTAGGTTAGCTAAAGCTTTTTTTACATTAATTATTTATAGGATATTTAACTTAAGTAAGTTTAATAATACCTCTAGTTAGATGATTTGATAATTGTTTTTTGGATAACAAATCATTGGTAACATCTTCATTAAGAGTTTCATGTGTTACTTCAATATCATCCCCATGTAGAGATTCACGTAGTTCTTCAATGTTATCTTTATTAAAAAATTATTGGGATGCTTCAATGGTATATCTAGTAAGAGATTCTTGTGATGTTTCAACGTCACTTTCTTCTTTATCTCTTAAAGGATAGTGATATGAAGTTATATAACTTAAATCTATATATTCTAAAATCTGAATTTCTTGTTGGTTCTCTCCCTAAATATCAGACTCAAACAAAATACATTGTATCTTTGTTGAAAATTATATTTGTTGTTATATTCATATGATGAGTAGGCGAATAATAACATCTATAACTTTTTTTATATACAACATATTTAACAAAAATACATTAAATGTCCCGTGGGGCCAACTTGTTGCGTGGATCTTATGAAGATAAAATTTACAACACATCCAAATATATGAGGAGATAAATTAGGAATTATTGGAGTGACAATTAAATTATGTGTAAAGTTTAAAAATGTGCCTTAAACTCAATATAATTTGAAGGAATCTGATTTATTAAATATTTTACTGAAGTAAAAGTTTATCCTCAATAACACAATAACATGTGTGTCTCGATTAAAGAAACACAAAAACTTCTAACAAATGTCGATTTTTTTTAATAATACCATTTTTGTTGAGGTGTATTAGGATAAATAGTTTGATTAATAATTTCATTAGCTTCTAAATATTGGTATAGTTCAAAATTTTTATATTTTATACCATTATTAATACGTGAAACTTGAATATGAGCATTATATTGAGTTTTTATCTTTTTATGAAAAATTTTAAATAATAAACTTACCTAAATTTATTTTATTTTATTAAATATAACTAAGTCATATTGTACAATCATCAATAAGAGGGACAAACCAACGAAATCTACCAAAATTTAGATTTTAGATGGATCCCACGTATCAGTGCCTATGGCCATAAAAGATTGAAGACTTTTACTTAAAATGAATGAAAATGGGGTTCTACAACTTTTTGCAAATTCACACAAACATCGCAAAAAAAAACTAGAAATATTATACTTTTTAAATAAAGTAGGAAATAATTTTTTTTAAATACCCAAATAAGACATGACTAAGATGTTGATGTTATAAACAAATTTCACATTTTTTTTTCTACTCTAGTGTTGTAACTCATTAGATTTTTTTTTTTTTAAGATTTAGATAATATAAATTTTCTCTCCTATTTGTCATAACAAATTCATTGTTTTATTTTAATATCTCAAGATAAAAAAATTATCAAATAAGATAAATAAGTTATTATTTGAGAAATAGATAAAAGATTATAATTTAAAGAAGAAACCAGATAAAAACAAAATTTAAAATACTAGTAAGATTTAATGATATTTTTAATAATTTGAGTTTTATTTTCATTTGTAATAAAATCATATTTGTGTGTAGATGATTTAATTTTAATAACCTTATTAATATTAAATGTGATTTGATTTGTAGTTCTAATAATAATAATTCGTATATAATTTAAAATATTAACAATATTATTAAGATTATTCAAATTATTTATAATTCAAATACTATCTCATATTATTTGTCAATGAATTTTTTTTTCAATTATCACATTTGGATATTTTTCTATTATTATAATATATTTTTTTAAAATATTAAAAATTTCTTAAATTTATAATGACTTATATATTATAATATTATTATATATATAATTAACGATAAGTTTCTCATCACATCTCATTAGAAAGAATTTTCTTATCATTATCAATAATAATAATAATAATAATAAATATGTCATAGAAATAGAAAATATCTTCCAAGTTATTTAATCCAAAGTTGAACTCCATTTGAATCAAAATTAATTTAAATTGAAGAAATTGTTCTTTTGGAAAACATCCAATTCTTTATTTTTAATAAGATAAAATAAATTGAGTCTGTTACTTCTTCTGTCTAGCTTTTCTTTCAATTTTCGATTTTGACAACTTGATTACCACAGATTCAACGTCACATGCATAGAAAGAATATAAAGATTTCACCTTTATCTTTCTCAGATGCTTCTTACTTTTATAATCAAATAAATATTAAAGGATTGGTGGTAAAAAAACATAAATATTTATAACATTTAACAACAATATTCAATGATACAATTTTTTTTTTGTTTTTACATGAAGAGGAAAAATATTATTATATGTGGAAAAGAAATATAACTATCAAAAGATAAAGAAATAAAAACAAATAGTACTTAAACATTATTATCCAATTCTAACATATAAATATTTTTTTGTCTTATGTTAAAATTTAGAACAGAAAAAAAATAGTGTCAAGGCTCCATATCTGCATGTATCACACTTATTTATGCAACTTAAAGTCATAATAATAAGCAACCTATATATAATGTAATCTAATGTTCTTATACATCATGGGGAACAAAAATTAACAAATCTTCAAGAGGTGTTGAGCATCAATGTCTTGGTGTGTTATGGGTAATTATCTTCCTCACGAAAATGGGGAATGGAGTGTGAATTGAAGTGAGAATCTAAAGAAAATTCCACTTGGGCAAGTGTTAGCATCCATTATGAAATCCAGGTATCAACTAGTCGTGGTTCAACAACAGTGACTGCGCTTAGTATATCAACGCTAAATGGTAATTATTTACAACCTAAGAATAGTTAACAAACCCCTTGATTTAGCACATGTCCCATGTCGCGGTTCTTAGAGGTTGTAGGAGATGAACGATTCTCTCTCACGGAAAACAATTCAAACATGGGAGAAAAAGCTGCACCTCTGATGAATTTTTCACGGTTTCGTTTCAAGAATATCAGAAGAATTCCTTAAGGAATTATTTTGGGTAACAAAATTCACCAAATTAAGGAATGCGTCCTGTAGCCAACGTTGTCTGCCATAGTTGTCTCATCGATCGAGCTTTTGCTCTAGGCCTCAAATATGAAAAATGACCCCAGAAAAATTGGAAACTTGAGAAACCAAAAATTTTAATGCCAACATGCAAGTTGGTATTGGGTATGGAAAAAAGATGACTCCTTTACCCAGAAAGCCTGTCTTTGAAGTTTCACATCTCCCTCCCCCACACGTATTATTGATGAATTTTGCTAAAGCTTGAAAATTTGGTGCGGGATTTTGGCAAAGGGAGAGAGGGATAGAGGAACAAGAAGGAAAAGCACAATGATTGGCAGAGATAGCAGTGTTATGAAGGCATGGGAGGCCACGGTGAGGAAGACACAGGCAGTGGCCAAGAAGAGGGCAAACAGCATATTTGGGTCAGCGTATCTTGCTCATACAGAAGAAGATGACCATAAGGAACATCCAAATGGAAGTGAGCCATCTGAACTGTACCATGCAGAGAAGGTTCTTCCGAATGGGGATTATTACAAGGGAGAATGGGCAGATAATTTTCCACACGGGAAGGGAAAATATGTGTGGACTGATGGGTGCGTGTATGTTGGGGAATGGTTCAAAGGGAAAACTATGGGAAAGGGAAGGTTCACTTGGCCTAATGGGCCAACTTATGAAGGGGAATTCAAGAGTGGTTATATGGATGGAACAGGCACATACACAGCCTCAAATGGGGACGTTTATAAGGGGCAGTGGGTCATGAATTTGAAACATGGTAATGGTGTGAAGACTTTTTCCAATGGAGACAGGTATGAAGGTGAATGGAAAAGGGGGATGCAGGAGGGGCAGGGGAGATATGACTGGAAGGATGGGAACTATTACACAGGGGAGTGGAAGAATGGGAACATTTGCGGTAAAGGGTCATTTTATTGGGTTGATGGGAATAGGTACGATGGGTTTTGGGAAGATGGTGCGCCTAAAGGGAATGGAACTTTCAGATGGGATGATGGAGGTTTTTATGTGGGAAACTGGAGCAAGGATCCGAGGGAGCAGAGTGGATCATACTACCCAGCAGGGTCAGCACAGGAGGGTCATCTTGAGTGGGATCCTCAACAAGTGTTCAATGCCTTGAATGACTATACAATTCATCCAGGAGAGAAGGTTTCAGTTTTGCCATCACAGAAGAGGCTTGCAGTGTGGAGGTCTACAAAGGGAGGGGATGGTGCTAAGCCAAGGAGAAAGTCAGTGGATGGAAGGGTAAGTGTGGGGCTGGAGAAGCCAATTGATAGAATGCAAATATGGGGTAATACCGAGGGTGATTTCAGCGGTTCTAAAACTCCAACTGGTCCTTTAGATAACGACCTCGTACCTTTAGGCATGGATAGTTCTGTTTCAAGAGGGACTCATCTCCAAACCCTCAAAGCACCAACCAAAGCAAAGAGGCAGGGTGAAACCATATGCAAAGGACACAAAAACTATGAGCTCATGCTCAATTTGCAGCTTGGAATCAGGTACTTCATAGTTTATTTACATAGCTTGTCTTTCACTGAAAATATGATGCACCACCACTCAAGAGTACTGCAAAATGCTATGCATCATCTGTCACTCATTAGACTTGTTTGTTTTGCTGCATAGGCATTCTGTTGGAAGACCTGCCCCCACAGCATCACTTGATCTAAAGCCTTCAGCTTTTGATCCCAAGGAGAAAGTGTGGACAAGGTTTCCCCCAGAAGGATCCAAATACACTCCACCCCATCCATCATGTGAATTCAAATGGAAGGACTATTGCCCAGTAGTGTTTAGGTAAGCCTATTGACACCTAGACATTTTTAAGGAAAATCATTGTTTCAATTTATAAACCTTTCTATGAAACTCTGCCTCCAGAACTCTCAGGAAGCTATTCAAGGTGGATGCAGCTGATTACATGATATCTATATGTGGAAATGAAGCCCTTCGTGAACTTTCCTCTCCTGGTAAAAGTGGTAGCTTCTTTTACCTCACCAATGATGACCGCTACATGATAAAGACAATGAAGAAAGCAGAGGCAAAAGTGAGTGCAGTGTGTATTGTCCCTAACTCAATTTTTCTGGGAAATCAAATCAAGACATCTTCTAACTAATCTGGCTATGCTGGATGCAGGCTCTTTTAAGAATGCTTCCAGCTTATTACAATCATTTTCGAGCATTTGAGAATGCTCTAGTCACAAAATTTTATGGCCTGCATTGTGTAAAGTTAACTGGAGCAGCTCAGAAGAAGGTATAAGTAGTAACTCAAAATATTTCAAGGCTGAAAAATGTACCTAAAAATTTTAACAATTCCATCAAGTAATCTAAAAACAAATAAAAAACAAAACTACCCATAGAAATTTTTTAAAATAACATTTTATTAAAACTTATAATAACATAAATTCTAACAATAATAATAATAGTAATCTAATAAAGTGTAATAAATACTGATTCAGATTTTCATCAATATAAATGTTTATTGGATTGCAGATAAGAAAATGCTAGATTATGAAAACAAGTTTTATTTTGTCATATAATTATGAATAAGTATTTGGTAGGAGGAGATTGATTTTATCAATATTTTCTTAATAAAGCTATGTTTAGTTAGAGGAAAGAAAACTATATTTGCTTCTCTCTAGACACAGATAAAGTAAAACGAATGGAATGATGAATGGTTCCTTCAAATAAAGTTTTAATTTTTTTTTTCTTTTCTTGCACACTCTCCTCAATCAAATTCAAAACTTTTTGTGTTATTATTTACAGTAGACCCTATGTAGAGTCATTTGTGATTTCTAATTTGTTGATTCCATAAAAAAATTGAAGTTAACTGTTTATCAGAATTAAACTAGAATCTTTATAGTACATTTGGGGATTTGCAGGTTCGATTTATCATAATGGGCAATCTCTTCTGCTCTGAGTATACCATCCATAGACGTTTTGATTTGAAGGGTTCTTCACTTGGGAGAATAACAATTAAGCCTGAGTCGGAGATTAGTGAAACAACTATCCTTAAAGATCTAGATCTAAATTTCATATTTCGATTACAAAAATCTTGGTTTCAAGAATTTTGCAGGTAATGAAAGATTTCTGCACATTATGTTGTATGAGTTGCTTTCTACCCTGTTAAAGTTGAATTTTTTTCTAATACCTGTACAGAAAAGATAAGCACACAAACTATATATATTTGTTATCTCAGGCAAATTGATAGGGACTGTGAGCTTCTGGAACAGGAGGGGATTATGGACTACAGTCTCCTGGTTGGTATTCATTTCAAAGATATATCAGAAAATGGGGAACTTATTTGTTCAGGATCTCATACTCCTGCAGGTACTACTTAACCTAAAGTCCCATCTTGTCATACCTAATTTCATTCACAACAGAAAACTAAGATAAATGTTTGACTTGTCAATTTCAGGTGATACAGAGAATGAAGGAACTCCCTGCATTTCTAGAGCAGATATAGATCAACTTCTTCTAGATCCTACCAGGTCACATGTCTTTTTGAAATTTCAATGCTAATTTGTGTAACACATTTGGAAAAGGTTGTTTTGTAATCTAGAGAGTATGCTATTTGATGTGCATAAAAATAAATCAACTGGTACTTTTCTGTAATCACAAGGCTCATAACTAGTTATAGCACATATTTTCTCTGGAAATAGTTGGTGAAGGCTAAACGAGTTGTGTGACAAAACTTCCACCTTAGGGTCACCATTGAAAAAACTACACATCAATCAGAAGTTGGTTCTTGAAAATTCTGTGAAAACCTCTACTTAAGTCATGTCTGGTTGGGTTATACATTTGTCTAATTTGTGACTGCAGATGGGAGAGTATCAAATTGGGTGTGAATATGCCAGCAAGGGTTGAAAGGACGGTGAGAAGAAGTGATTGTGAATTGCAGCTTGTAGGAGAACCAATTGGAGAGTTCTATGAGGTGGTTTTATTTTTTGGCATCATAGACATACTTCAAGATTATGACATAAGCAAGAAGCTTGAGCATGCCTACAAGTCCATTCAATATGATCCAACCTCAATATCAGCCGTTGATCCAAGACAATATTCAAGGCGTTTTCGTGACTTCATATTCAGAATATTTTCTGAAGACTCTTGAAAGCCATTCACGATTATGCAGCATTTGCATTCCATTCATACCATGGTATAGCTTCAAAAGCTCAACTCTTAGAACCACAATTGAGATGCACCTTATTTTGGGTATCCATTATTTATTTTTTCTTTTCTATTTTGATGTTCTTTAGCTTATTCTTATGTATAGTGCAGCAACTTTATTAGTATACAACAAAACAACATGCGAAACGATTAAAGCAAGAACACTCTGTGCTTCTACACACTAGCTAGAACATAATTATTCTTCCCAAAGGGGAAGAGATGACAAGTTCATACATTTTATATCAGATCGAGATGTATATTATTGTATAGAAAATGGAAGATTAGTGTACATGTTCAATCTTTTTACTTCTTTGCTTAATCCTTGCTACTATGTGGAATGATATTGAATAAGTAAAGCTTGAAATCCCTTTTGACAAATTTGATGGAGGACTTGTTAATTTCGAAAAATGTAGAAGTTTTATCTCTTAATGCAGAAGAACCACACATGTTAATGGTTTTAGTCTTAATAAATAATATATGTATAGTATAGCACTAAATGACTAATGTATATATGCATTATGTTTGTGTTTTGAGGACTATAATGTGAATAATAATGATTGTGAATATCCTACTTCATTACATGCGCAATATTTCTCGTTGTATCTCATAATGAAGACAATAAGAATCTTAAATGTAATGTGTTGGATTCATCAAACTATGCTGTTTTCTTCTCAAAGTTGAGAAAAATTAGACTTATTTTTGGACTTTTAGATGGGTTTTCATGAATCACCCACTCATGTGATTGTTACATTATTATTCATTCAATTTTACCTAAAATAAATTATAATTTAGTCAATATAATCAACAAAATTTAGTTCAAGAAGTCTGAAAAACGAAGGCACAAAGTACAAAACTCAGCAACTTCGTACACAATTTCTTTTCATATTTGACATTCAACAGCCAATATATTCTTGAAATCATTCTATTTATTTCTCAAACATATGTGTTGAATATCATTTTCATCTATTCTTCCACCTTTCAAACCACGAAATTGAAAAGATCCATGAGCACCATAAAACCTTAGAACAAGACGCTACAAATGAAATTTAGCAACCCATGAGTTTGTTGGCCTTAACAACGTGACCCTTCTCCACCACAGTCCCATCATTCCCCGCAAGTGCCCTATACTTATCCTTCCTGGTAAACCCAGTGCACTCGTACGACAAAGTCGATGCAATCACCCTCTGTATATAATTCGCCACATCATGGCTCGACTTGTTCCCTGACCCACAAGTCAACTCTTTCGGCAATTTGTTCAAGAATGTAACTTCATAAGCGGGACTAGGGTTCATGAAGAAGTAAAACGGGTCCATACCCTTCCACCCTCTTGCCGTTGTGCCGTGGAACATGCTCATGCGATTCACCATCGCCACGGGGACCAGCTCGTCGGTGAGTTCCGCGAACAGGGCGGAGAATCTAAGGAGGAAGGGCTCGCGGCAGGTTGTGCCTTCCGGGCAGATTGCTAGGTCACCGTCTTGGAGGAGCTTTTTTATCATGGCGGCGTCAGTGGCGCGGTCGCGGGTGAGGCGGACGGTCTTGATGGGGGAGATGAACTCCGAGAGGCGGGAGACGGAGTAGGTGACGGCGGGGATGGGGCGGCCGAGGGCGGCCGAGAGGAAGATGGGGTCAAGGAGGGTGCGGTGGGAGCAGATAAACAAAACCCCGGAATTGTTAGGGTTTGATTTTGTGACTTGTTGGGGTGGGGTGCCCTTGATTAGGACACGGACTCCTAAGGCCCAGAAAGCATAGTAGACCATATGCATTGGCAGGAGAGACCCTGCAGCTATTCTGAGGCATGCTAAGGGGAATCCTATGGGGATCCAGAGAATGGTGAGAAGGGCAATGAGGGGTGTTGGTTTCTGCACCAGTCGTCCATCGTGGAAGATTATGGGCTTTGGAAGCTTCTCAGTGGAAACTGATTTGACGTCACTTTTGGGTGGGACTATGAAACCCTCCTGCATTCATGCAAAGCATTTTCTTTCAATGCATCAACAATTCATTACATGTTCAGAAAGAATCATAAAAATGTTCTGTAATACATGAAAACTATATATGCAAACAGCATGATACTGGTACGCGATGGTGTTACCCTGCACAAAGCCATGAAGGGAGCATCGGTTTGTCTGTCACCAAGTCCAACATGCGGCATCTCCTCTGCAAAAGTCTTCTTCAGAGCTTCAGCTTTGTTTCGGCCAACCAGAATGCCAGGACTGCGCACCAACCCAGTTGCTCTTCCTCTGTAACTCCCAATCTCAGTGCCTAAAACCAAGTCGGCGCCCAAAAACTCCTTCAAGAAAGGTTCCACCATCACCCTCGGATTCGCCGTCAGCACGCACCGCTTCCCGCACGACGAGAACACGCGCCACGACTCCGGGTGAACGTCATCCGCGTAGAACTTGGGAAGCACCGCACGCGCCACTGATTCTATGCTCGACAATTTCATTCCGGCCATTGAGGCAAATATCAGAACCTGTCAGACAAAAGTATTGAAAAATTGATTAATGGACAGTACAGGTGGGTTGAATCCGGCAACCTGTCTAGAAACATGAAACATGTCAGTTCTTTTACATATTTAAATTTAATTTAATTAATATAAAATTTTTAAAAATTAATAAAATAAAAAACTAAAGATTTGAAACCAATCATTTTGATTAAAAAAATTAAATAATAGATTTCAATTACAATCCCTTCTACGTTACATGTCTATTTTATCTCCTCTTGGTTTGTATCTTTACGTTTTGTATTTTTTTTAATATTTAATATAATTTATAGATAATAAGTTTTTATTATATTATAAAACAATATTTTATTAAAATTTTTAAATTTTTAATTTATATTTTGACTAAAAATGGGTGATGATTGACATAACCTTGTAAAAATATACACATGTTCCACACCTCATTCTTATTTTTATTTCTCTTTATTTATTACATCATAATTTCTTTTAAACCTACTACTTTCTTTTCATAGTTTTTCCTCTTGACAGTGTCCATGAAACATTCTCATTTAAAAATATTAGTTATTGACTAAATTTAAAATTAATATAATATTTTATTAATTTTATGACAGTAAAAAAATATAATTAAATATTGAATTTAAATATAAAAGATATTAATATTATATTTTGTTTTTATTCAAAAAAATAAAATTACGTATTTTTAAAATTTTAAAATTAAAATAGTAATTTAAAAATAAAATAGGATCAAGTGTTAATTAAAAAATTAGTACAAGATAAAAATATATTTTTTTCTAGTTCATAGTACATAATTACAAGTTGTCAGTCTATATTGTTTTTAAAAAAATTCTTTATACTTAATTTGATAATCAATAGAAATTAAATTCTCTTTCATTAAAAATATTGAAAGTAATAGGCAAATTAAACTCTCATCAAGATCAAATTACAATAGAAAATCTTTCTGACATAGTAACAAACTGAGATGTATTTCTTCCTCAAAAACTTATAGAAAAGAAATATATGAAAAGAGAAAGAAAGTAATTGACTTTTCCTAACTCAAGCAAAGTCAAAAGATAAAAAATTATAGAGATTATATGAATAAACTTGTATGAAAAAGGTTTCTTTTTCAGTTGCAGAAGAAATTATGATGGTTAGTTAGAAAAGAGAAGAGAAAAAGATGAGAACCTGAATGCCAGCAGACTCAGAGATGAAGTAGTAGAGAAGAGCAGCAATAGGAGAAGCCAAGACAAAGAACAGAAGCCTGAGAACCCCACCACCCTCGAAGGCCACAAGAGCAAAATAAGGGAAAGAGCTTCGACCAACGAGTAAGGTTCCATCCATGTCCGCAACCACCGTGTCCTTTTCCCTACCAATGGAGGGGCACTTGCTCACCGTTGGGAACGTTGGAAAACTCATGCTATGCAACCAAACCACGTTATTGATGCCTCTGGATATGTAATGAGAGAACTTTAATTGGTTTGGTTGCATGGTTCAGGTTCGGTGGATGCATATATATACATGCATGTGCATTTGGTCGCATAGTGAGACAAAGTTTGGTTTGGTATGAGTGATTATGTGAACGATGACAATGGTGGCTCGGAGATTTCCAAAAGCGATTGAAAACGATTGATTGGTAAGGTGCGATACAAACGAGGGTTGGCGATTCTTGTTTTTGGAAGGGTAAATAATGAAGGTTTTAAGGTTAATTTTTGTATACGTGCATGGTTTCCTCCGTCACTGTTTTGTCTAATCTTCACTTCCCATTGCAATTCCCATACATTGTTCCAATATTTGTTTTCATTTCAAGAACCTCTTTTTAAGTGGATCTGAGTACTCCAAGTCCTACCATAACCACTTTTGTTAAAATCTAAAATATCAACATTAGGAAGAATGTTGCTATCATTGCCACACACAAAAAATACATCAAAATTCTTAATTTTTATGTCATTACCGATTTAGACAAGTTAATGTTGCCATTGTTATTTTATTTTATTCTTTACATTTTTATAAGAAAATTACTTCTTCAAACATATCCTAATATAATACACAAAAACAAAAACAAAAACGTTTTTGCTGCATTTATTATATTTTTGCATTCCACACGTTGCTTTCACGTGTAAGGAGTTATTTAAGTTTAGGTTCATTGAAAGCAATGTGTAAATATTAGGTTCAATTCACATCATGGCTTTTCATGTTCCATTTCAGTCCCTCTGTTTGAAAAAGAAAGAAAACGAATATTTTTATTAAAAAAATTCTCTTTTAAATGACGATTGAACATATCTACAATTAAAGGATAAGATGATATAATTAAAAAAAAAAAAATTCTCATGGATATTTATTCGTGATTTCACATATTTATAAACTTACATATAAACATTATCCAAGATGAATCTTATTTGGATGATTTAATCATGACAATTATTACTAATTGGGATTCTTAAATTTTGATTACCATTGATTGTGATTTATATAACCTCATCTAATTTTCACCAGTTTGCATATTGTATGTAGGTATTAGATTTTATAAACTATGGGTAATTAATTATAAATTGTCAACCATTTACAAATTAGATAAAGAAACTAATTGAAAAACTAGATAAACAATGTTTTTATTAGATGTTAACGAGTGAATTAAGAAGTGTATTATTTCATATTTTAGTTAAAAAAATCTATTGCTATATTCTTAAACGAACAATAGTTAGTATTTACCTAAAATTTATACTCCAATTAAAAAAAAGGTTTAACTTCATGTATTTTAGTATGTTTATTTTAATATATTTTGAAAGAACATCTACATAAAAAATTAAATATATCATTTGTGTATTAAATAATTTTTTATTAACGTGAGATTTTGTATTATGATAAGTATTTGAAATGATAAATTTTAAAAAATATTATTAAATAATATAATAGTCAGTTGAATCAAAGATATTGCATAGTACATTACATAAGAAAATTAATTGATTTTATTTCATTACTTTATTTTAATAAATAATATGATATTTAAAAAATTAAATGAATGTTTAAATTATTTAAAATTTGATATGTAGATAATAAAACATAATAACAAATGTTTGAGATTTTTATTCTTGGAGACAACAATTTTTTACAATAACACTAGAAAAAATTTATAAAAAAATGCATGTACTCTATGAAATCAGAATTTAATGTTCGAACATAAAATCACTTGTGTTGTCCATATGTTGTTTGATAAAATGTGATTCTAATGTATCTGAAACATGTTACTCTGTATTTGACATGAATGTATCCAAATGTTATGAGTCACTGTCACTTTTATTAATGTCTTGTTATGGTTATCACGAGTAACTATCATCTTTTCTATTACTTTGCAATGGATTTTCTTATGTTGTATTGTAGTGCACTTGTTATGGAAAATTCCATAATTGTTATATAGAGACATGTACCAAAGAATAGGGGAACTTCAACTGGTAGAATGTTTATATTCATAGTTAAAAATGAACTTATATGGTAATAAGAAAAATAAGATTACAAAAATTAATGATTAATTAACATAATATATTTTTAAAAATTAGATGATGAAATATTTCAATCTTAATTGTTATTTTACTTTTTATTGTCTATACAATTAAGAAAAATTAAAAATAGATATTTAACTATTTATACTCAACACTTTTTTCTTTAACATTAATTTATTAACACTTTAAAATTTAATTTTTCTCTTTTTCCATATTTATTGTTAAAGTGTCTTCTATGATACTCCCTTCTTAATCTTATAAGAAAGGATATATTTTCAATTCAAAAACATTAATTTTGTGGACTTTTTTATTTATATATTTTTTTATCTTTTTTATTAAATATAAAACTTTATTGTTGAGGACATAACATTCTTTTTGCATTACATTAAATGATTTCGATCGTTACTGATTATTTCAATTCAATTCAAGTTGTTTTGTTTATTTATAAGTATATACCGACCAATTTATAAATATATTGAAAAAAATATATTGAAAAAAGTATTAGAGTTTTTTTTTAAATGACAATGAAAAGAAGAAAATTGAAGTTGAGAAAGATTAAATATCGAGATTAAAAGAGTTATTATGGGCAAGAATTAGGAGAATAATAAATTGGAAGGTATAAATCGAAAATACAAATTAAGATTAATACTTATGGTCAATAAATACTCAAAAAATGCATATTATCAAGAGAAAAAAAGATCGAGTTGAGCAAACAGGAGTCAATCAAAGATATGGAATGGTCAATTGAACATATAGAATCAAAGACTTAGGAATGTTAAGGACCATGAAATTGAGAGAAATAAGACATGGAGAAATGATTATGCAAACAGGAAAGGAAACTGGATCGAGAAGGAGTTATGTAATCAAAAAATATGTGGAAGCGGTTATGATTTTATTACGTGACATGTGCGCTTATAAATATTATGTAATAATAAAATTGTTTGAGAAAATAGGAGAACAATTATAAGAAAGTAACCGTTTGTTTTATTTTATTTTATTTATTGTATTTTTTTAAAGTGTATTATCGGTCAAATAAGGAAAATATAAATAAAGTGAAATAAATGTAGAAGAGGTATTTTCAAATTGTATGAAAACTTGCATTCTAAAAAATGTTACGAACAAAAGACAAACATTTTCAATAGAGTTTTTTGCAACTTGGATCGTCATCTTTATTGATTTCTTTTACAATTTTTGTTTTATCTTTGGTAATGAGTTAGATTTATCTTTTTGTAATTTATTTCCTTACACATTTACTTTCCAACAATTTACTTTCATTATATTTTTACCTTTTTTCGTAATTTACTTTAAATGTTACAACTCATATTAAAAATCCAAATTATATATAGAAGATCATTAATAGAAATTCGTCTTATTTTAATTATTGAGTGATTAGTGATAACTTAATCAAAATCCTCTAAATTGAAAAGCATTTGCATTTGGTAATAAAAATTAAAAGAATCTACATAGTGTTTGAATGGTTCATTATGGACTAAGGTAAGAAGATATTAATCGGACAATAAATTATTTTGCACTAAAAGCACTATGACTGTCTCACTTTAAGGTATTTTGTCGTTGCATTGCATCTATGACATAAGAATTTATAAAGCATATGCATGAAACATGAAATTTGAAAAAACTCTTTTAAGAACTAATGCTTAGTTATAGTTAAGATAACCCTTCCAATGATAACTTAACTATGTATGACCTTATGTATCATAATGACTTTCAACACAGTTTCACCTTGTGAAATTTTGAGTTATGTCACCCAGTCACGCTTCTATAAATGCTAGTAAGCTTAAAGAAAAAAAAGTAATGTAATTTTGTTTCTACAAAACCCTATTTACCTTGTCACTAACTTGAACGTCGAAATGTTTTTATAGACATCACAATCTCCAGTTACCCAGATCTGAGAATCTGTCGCCCAAGATGTCCGAGGGAACACTTCGAAGAATATTAGTATTCGGCCATGTAAGAACACATTGTGTTTCATCATTTCTTATTGGACCCTTTTATCCTTACATTTTGAGAATCCATTTATTGTTTTCCAGGAGGTGTTAAAATGTTTAATCATAAGGCATATAAACTACTGCATTTTATCACTCAACTTTAGGTTTCTTGTAAATCTTTCCTTAACATTTGCTAAAGGTGGTGTGAATGATGCATTTATCCTTTGCATTAACTCATCAATTTATTGAAAGTAAGCACTCCTCCATCTTCTCTTCCTCACGCTTCCAATCACTACCCAAAAACCAATAGCATAGCCAACTGTTATGATAATGTAAAACAACAATTTCTCTACTTTATCATTTATGTCATAGTCTTCTTCATCTTCATTTCCATGTTGGTGGAATCATCAACAGGACATTCATTTGGCAGTGTAGATTCACATAGAAATGGGTTTTCATCTTAAATAAAATGGTCATCAAGGATCTTGATAGGATGTTATAGGACAAATTTAAGTGGCTCAATGAAGTTAGAGTAGATATGTTGTTTGAAATTGTGCCTGAAAGTTGGTCATGAGACAAATCAAGAGATTCTAGTGATTTCATGTCCCTTATGAGAGTAGGACTTTGTCTTGATAGATGATTGTATGAAAGATTTAGGCCTTGGAATGCAGAAAACAATTTTATTCCTTTAGGAACATATCCACTCAAATTAATTTTTGACAAGTCCATGTTGGCTAACGGTATTAGATTTCTAGAATGGTCAAGTTTGCATCTTTTTGTGACTTGTCTCACATCTTGTTCAAACCATTCATCATATCTAGGCCCTTCACTAGGTTGCCTGATAGAATGTTTCTTTCCTAAAATCGTTGTTGTGAGATTTCCAATGCAACCAAGGATTGTGTCAATCAAGTTGTGGTTTGAAAGGACCAATATAATATTTGTAGCGCTGAAAGTTGGAACAATGCCAAAGGAA